TGCCTCAGAATTACCAGCCTATTTGTGTCAGCGAGCAATTTTGGCCCCAACAAATGAGGTGGCTGCTGCTATAAATGCTCAGATTATTGGCCAGATAGCTAATGAGGAAATGTCATATTATAGCTTTGATACAATTGATGATACCACAGCTAACTATTGCACTCTTCAAGACCTGTATCCTCCAGAGTTTCTCAACACGGTTCGCATGAGTGGCCTTCCAGATCACCATTTACAACTTAAGATTGGTGTCCCAATAATGTTACTTAGAAATTTGAGTCCATCCAAGGGCTTATACAATGGAACTAGACTTATTGTGACGCAGCTCACTCATCGTGTAATTGAAGCCCAAATAATAACAGGAAGCGCTAAAGGTTCTAAAGCTTATATCCCTAGAATTGTTTCTGTTTCGACAGACCCGAAATGGCCTTTCAAGATGAGACGTCGTCAATTTCCAGTGCGTGTTTCATATGCAATGACGATAAACAAGAGCCAAGGATAGAGACTTAGCAAGGTTGGTGTTTACTTGCCAAGTCCCGTGTTCTCTCATGGGCAGCTTTATGTTGCCTTCTCCCGCGTAACATCTTCAAAAGGATTACGAATCCTCATTGAAAATAACTCTGCTGAGTATGAAAGAAAGACACATAATGTTGTGTATTCTGACATTTTCCATGATATATTAAGCCAATGTTGTCAGTTCTCCCCAGATACCCATGTCCAATAGATCAGCTTTCTTACTACAAGGTATTTATGTTTTACAATTTATGCTCTGGTAGTCTGTTTAGTATAATCTTTTTTATGCCTGAATTTTCCATATTACATCCAGTAGACAACCTACACTTGCTAATGCGTTTCTCAATGCTCTTTGATTTATTAAAGTGTATCTGTCATCAACGGAGTGCACAACACAGAACCATCTTCATATATATATTTTAGTAATGCAGTCCTCTTGCAGTTCTATGGTTCTTTTGAAAGGAGTGACTTAACAACAATACATAATAACAACTGTTGAATTTATTTCAAGCTAAAGAAACTGTAGTGCTTATGTTGTTCAGCTATGTTTTCAAAGTAGCTTACTTCCTGTTCACATGTAAATTATGTGCTTTAAGTCATGTATGCACATCAAATTACCCCATTTCAATATAAATTTAGCATTCTTAAATATGGTTCCCACCACCTCAGGTTTGATTTTTCTTTTGTCCCAAGTTGATATATCTGATTTCTATCTTTCTACATATCCAACCATCCTACATTCATAGCTAAACATACAAATTAGATAAGTAATATCTAAACTTACATACTTCTATAATCCACATGGATATATGGTGGTAAGTTCTTATCATTACTTATTGTTGATATAGATAAGCACAGTTCTAATGCTCCTCTGCTCATATGTTAACATGAGTAACCATTTTGTTACATTGTACTGCTAAATTTTAATTCTATTTGGACAGCCCATTGTTAAAAGATATTCTCCCCTCAACTTCCTATTGAATGGTAATAGGAAATGTCCCATTTCTTATTGTTTTATGTAGAGATAGAGACCTCAAATTCACGTCTCATACTATCGGGTAATGATTGACAAGTATATTTGATCTGAGTTCATTTTACTTATTGCAGATCAAGAATGACATATAAAGAAGAATATTACTTAATATTATATGAGGGAATTTCTATCGTTTAACAAGGTATGACATATGACACTGAAAGGAATAAAATTTCCAATTTATAAGCTCAAGAGTTAAACTATGTTCCTATCAGAACTAAACTGAACGATCTATGCGCTTTGGCTTCATTTTAGTGTTTATTTTGTAGCTCCTTTACATGGTGATGAAATTTCCATTAGGCGTTGATGCAAAATTCAACAGCGCCTACTATTTCAGGATTACCAAGTAGGTACTGCAGGAGACGTGCTCACATATTATCACAACTACTCTGTTTTGCCACAAATGATGCCTATCCGGACATGTGCAACTTGGTTATCTCTTCTGCAGTTCTGCTGATTGATCCTACTGATTTACAGAGCTTCTTAATGTATGTTTTATTCTTAGTGGTTTTGTATATTCTCATATGAGTAGGCTGAGATTTGTATAAACCTAATGCCATGCCCAATGTTAAAAAAACATGTAGGATACGATTTAACCCTATGATTGTTGTACTGAACTTTCCATCTAATTCTTCCAATATTTAGTGCCCGCGGCAACGCTCGGGGTATAGAGTAGTATAACTATATCAGCGTCATGCTGTCAAAACATATCTACACATGCATACATGTGTACTTTTATGTATTTTATGATTTGATCGCATGGCATCTCTTGATATGGATCATTATCATTTCATAATTAAGCTGCAGTGGTATATATATATACATATACTGTATGGCCAAGGATAGCATGCCACGAGCAAAGATATTTGACGTCGATTAATCTATATGCATGATTCTTGCTCTCACAAATTCTAACGGTCTCGGGGAATAAGCCAAACGATATATTTATAATAAAAAATAATTTATAAATAAAATTTTTATATATGTATTATTAGCGATATATAAAAGTAAAGGCTGTAAAATAAATTTCGATAAAAAAAACTTAAAATCAACTTTAAATTAAGATTGAAAATTCAAATTCTGGCTGGTAAGCATAAATATAAATGCAAAGATGAGGCTGGTTGATGAAAGGCACGTAAAGTTAATAAGAACGATCGATCCATATGAAGCTGAATCAATCAATATCAGTCTCTCATTTTCGGTGATCTGCCCGTACCTGGACCAAAACCTGCATGAGGTTGATCCACCAATGTGTATGCAGCGAACTGCCGAGGTTCACTCGCTCACGGTTTGCAATCTCGTTTTGGGTTGAAATGCGAGCTTGTTTGTTTGAATGGACATGAATATTATCACTATCTTTCCAAATCCAATTGACGACTCTGAATAATCAGATCGATCTGTAGTCCATGGATTTATGCAGGTGAATGTTGATTTCCCACGCAAAGTGTACGTAGATGGGATATTTGGATTTGTATAAAGACTTTGACTTTTTTAACTGGGACTGGTCAACTAATTAATTGGTTCCAAGACTTATTGCCAACTGTACTACTCCATTATACAAGAATATTTTTCCTTAGTCCCCACAAAACAAATATTATGGGAAAGAGTGCAAGATACTCTTTATGGGAAGGGACAGAATTTTGCAGAGGATTAATGTTTTTTCTCTAACTAATTCTTTACGTAAATATAAAATTACAAAAGTAGTATAATACTATGTTACACAAATGAATTTGACCACATCAATTTTCACATATATGGTTAAACGCACCCATTATCCAAAACAAATAATCATAATGATTATGGTATAATATGTGTGTGTGTGTGTATATATATATATATATATATATATATATATATATATATATATATATATATATATATATATATGCCACCTTGCCAAATAAAATGGCATTACTCGTTGTGGGCGTCTGTGTTTGTACTGTGTTTCTTAAAAAAATGACAGTATTTCTCTATGCGACCGAATAGATTAGCACTATCCCCTTCCCCCTTAGCGTATGACACCATTAACTTCTGTACACATGTTTTATCTTTAACCTTACTGAAAAAATATGTAATAATAATAATATTTTTTGTTGTTATTTATTTTTACCATTAAAGCTGCTTTAAGTATGACTTACATATATTCTTTTATATTTACATTTTTTTAATAAAATCACTGTTCACGCACTACAAATCGATGACAACGTATATTAGAAATGGAGTGAATATTTCATCGTGTAGAACGGATAGGATGGTGATGTGTAGGGTCTTTGGTTGGAGTTGGCTTGGCTAACTATTCCAATTCTATCTGCAAGCTAGCATGGCCGGCGTGCGTGCACCGGGATGGCGACGTCGACTTTAGTTCTTAGAATGAAATTATTGGTAGAAATTTGGAATGCCCAAGGGCCAAGGGACAATATGCTGTGAGACGAGAAGAATCTGCCAACTGCTTGCATGCCACAGGCAACCGCCGGCAATGATATCATTCATGGGATTTTTTTTCCTTATGATAATGGAATAAAAACATCGGATATTATTTAGTTTAAAAAAAACATGGGATATTATTTTATTATCTGAAAGTCACAATTATAAGAAACACCCATACCCAATCATATGTACAGTACTACCTTCGTTTTATATTATAAGACTTTCTAACCCATATATATATATATATATATATATATATATATGAATGTAGGCAATGGTAGAAAGTCTTATAACCTGAAACGGAGGGAGTAGTATACTTCCTCCATAAAAAAAAACTCAACTTAGGAGGGGATGTGACCCCTCCTAGTACAATGAATCTGGACTACCATTTATCCAGATTCGTTGTCTCACATCCCCTCCTAGGTTGAGTTTTTTTTGGGACGGGAGAGTAAGAATCACTCATATGAGAAGGGCTCACTCTTAACCAAAACACAGCAGGGGAGTCTCCCATAGTAAAAACACTCAAGTATCATATTGTGATATAGTAGTAATAATATTTAAAACTGTACAATTGAACTGACACATAGTAACAAATTACCTGTAGCAGTATACCACTATACTTGTATAGACATGTTTCATCTATTGCACATATATGCTCATTATTAACCATCTAGCCCATCGTTAATCTAGTACCACCTATTTTATATACTGATCTCAAAAAAGTATCGACAATAGACATATGTTGTGCTCTCTTCGTAAAAAAAACGAATCTGGACATACACTATGTCCGTGTATGTCCAGATTCATTTATAGAAGTGGGTTTTTTTTTTGACATAGGGAGTACGAGCCTAAACAATTCTACTCTGATATCGATGTCCCACAGGCGACAACAAACGAATTTGCGAAGCCTCCATATCCTGCATACCATAAATAAATCAATAGGATAATCCCATATAGTTTTTCCCCGATTGAATTTTCGTAGCTGCAAACACTTATTTATAGGCAGAGAGAGAGAGGGAGAGAGAGAGCTGTGGCTTGGGCAATTACGCCACAGCTCACTGAATTCGATCGCCTCTCTCTCTCGTTGCTGCCTTCTGGCAAACCATGGCCGTCCAGGTTCAACGAACGCCCCTCCCCCGGTCCACGTACACCGGCCATCGGGTCTATCTCCTGCGGGCCCCACCTGCAGTGACACGGTGCACCGTGGACCGCGCCTTTCCGCGCAGTCATGGACCTCCCCTTCCTCCTCTCCTGTATAAAACCTCGCGTCCTGATGCTTCCTCCTCCAACTCCACGAGCCGCCATTTCCCAAGGAGGAGCAAGGATTGTTGTTGTTTCGCTGTCAGATCGGTAGGCAGTGCCCCCCCTCTCTGTTGTCTCGGATTGGATTGGATTGGATTGGAGTTTTTCTGGGTTGATGTGGTGATTTTGAGGGTGATTTTTTTGTGTGTGTGTGTGTGTTCTTGATTTTTGTTTTTTATTTGGTTTGTTTCAGATTCCTGACGGGATAATGGGTGAGACCATCGCCAAGGATGTCACCGAGGTGAGCGAGCGCCAAAATGGTTTCTTGTTCTTCATCGTGGTGGCATTTTTTTGGATTGGTATTGGGATGTGATTTGAGAGAGAAAAAGAAGAAGATTGAATCTTTTTTGTGATGTGCTGTAGTTGATTGGGAACACGCCGTTGGTGTACCTCAACCGGGTGACGGATGGGTGCGTCGGGCGCGTCGCGGCCAAGCTCGAGTCCATGGAGCCATGCTCCAGCGTCAAGGATAGGTGAAGCTCTACTGAAATTTATCATCTTGTCATGTTAGGGTGGTGGATTATGTCTGAAAAATCGGTTATTTGTGGTTGTTTCCGGAATGGAGATGTGATTTTTCTCTGTTTAGTTCTCAGCTGTTTATGATTAGAGCTCTTACTTGCATCTTGGATTTTGAGATGAAATTTTGATGTGTGGTTGTGTTGGGTTTGTACAGGATTGGATACAGTATGATCACTGATGCAGAGGAGAAGGGGCTGATCACTCCAGGCAAGGTGAGGATTTTTTTTAATGATTTCGGTGTTCTGTACCAATGGAACAGTTTGGTCTTATAAACTAGTTGTTCTTCCTGCATCAATGTGAATGTTGTTCATTTATTTATTTGTTGGATCCCACTGCGGTTTGATAGTATGTTGGAGCTGATCTGCTGATGAAAGGGCGTGCATAGCAGAGAGTTTGAGTTGACCGGCGCATGTGCGAAAGCTCAAATAAGTAGTTAGATTGATAAGAAATGGACCATTCACCTACTGCATTGGTCTAGATATTTTATAGAAAATGAATAAGGTGTTCCTCGCGTTATCTAAGTCAGAAGGCAACGAAATGTGATCCCCAGCTGTCACTCGATTGCATAATCATAAGTTATCCGATAGCTGTTATTCTGCCATCTCATGTTGTGGCATGTTTCCCTAATTTATTCTTGATGAAGAGGCCACTAAACATTATTTTTGCAATGGAGATAACCTAATGATTGATGCTTGGGCCTAGACTGGTTTTGTTTAGTTGATTTTATTGGAAAAATAAATTGATTTTCTTCATTAAATGGAAACCTGCTGTATGGACTGATTAGTACTAGATGAACCAGCATATGTTTCTAGCTAGTTATGTACAATAGACCTTGTCTTGTCTTATTTTAGAAATAGTTTTCGTAGTACTTATGCTATTAAAGAATAGATGACCAAGTAAATTTTTTTTCAGCCAAATAAGATCACGGCTCCATTGCATCACTGAAGTTTTTCGATCTGCTTGCTCTTTATAAGAACAATCATATTATTTTCAATAGCAGCATATTTTGACATACCATGCTTCTTCTAGATTAATATATTTGCCGTGTCTAGGAGTCATGAATGATGAATGTGGCCTTGTTTGCAGTATTGTTCGTTTTCTCCTGCATCTAGGTGTTTTATTTCTGCAGATACTTTGCCAGTTGACCAAAGTAATTTTTATATTGCCAGTTGACCAAAGTAATTTTTATATTTCCAGTTGCCATCTGCATGATTCAATTAGTAGCTTAAAGCATACTCCCTCCGTCCCAAAATATAACTTTTAGCATTCAGAATTTGTCTCAAAATATAACAACTTCTTCACCTACATTCCCTTCTCAACCAATCACAACCTTCCACCATTCAAATTCACCACCTACTTTCTCTTCCCAACCAATCACAAACCCTCGTCCATTTAATCCCACATACTTTCTTAATACCTGTGTCTAAGCCTAGAACTCCTTATATTTTGGGAAGGAGGTAGTATTTAAATAAGGGAATTTTACAATGCTTTTTATGTGATAGTAAGTTAGCAGTTTTTTTTTGTTGGTAAACACTTTCTTCAAACTGCTAGTAAAGCTAAATCTATTATAACTTCCATATAGTTAAGAACGCAAGATCTGGCTTTACTGATGTTTTGCTTTGTCTGTCAATGATTGCCAGAGTGTGCTGATTGAGCCAACTAGTGGCAACACAGGCATTGGACTGGCCTTCATGGCTGCTGCAAAGGGTTACAGGCTTGTACTCACGATGCCGGCCTCCATGAGCATGGAGAGGAGAATCATATTGAAGGCTTTTGGTGCTGAATTGATACTTACTGACCCACTCTTGGGAATGAAAGGAGCTGTCCAAAAGGCAGAAGAACTGGCAGCGAAGACAAACAACTCATTTATCCTCCAACAATTCGAGAACCCTGCTAACCCAAAGGTGTAGCATGATTTAACATTTTAATACCCTTGTTTATATTTGTGTTCTGTGGACTCATACTGGGATGTTATTATGCAGATCCATTACGAGACCACTGGACCTGAAATCTGGAAAGGAACAGGAGGTAAAGTTGATGGTTTAGTTTCTGGTATTGGGACAGGTGGCACTATTACTGGAGCTGGACGATACCTCAGAGAGCAAAATCCTGATATCAAGGTAAGGACCAGAAAAGCTCTATACTACAGTTTTGGTTTGCCACATTGAATAATTAAAGTTCCAGCATTTGTTCCTTTAGGAAAAGAATAGTATCTGATTTTATTTTTTTTCTTATGTAAGATCTATGGTGTGGAGCCAGTCGAGAGCGCTGTCTTATCTGGTGGAAAGCCTGGTAATAAGGAGTCATCCATTAATTCCATGTCATGACTTTATTTCATTTTCTGGTTGTGTCAATAAAAAAATAATAAATTGTTTGCCGCACTTTAGTTTTCCCACAACAGCCAAAAGCTAAAACAAAATCTTTGATTTGTGGTTGTCTGGGACTTAGTCATGTGAATATCTTGTTGAGGAGGGAGAGCAGATTTAATTATTGGATGGCTGCATTTTGAAATTGGAATTATCATGTGGTTGATGATTGTTGATGTGCTCCCTAAGGACTCATTTTCTGGGTTCAATAGTGTATCCTTGTACCTCTCAATAGAAAAGAATATCCTTTTGAAGAAGGGATCTTGTGAACCATTTACTTCTAATGCAGGGCCACACAAGATTCAAGGAATTGGAGCTGGTTTTGTTCCTGGGGTCCTGGATGTTGACCTCATCAATGAAACTGTACAAGTATGTTATGCTTCTGTATTAAGTTGAGCTGTAGAAAGACATATATATAATTTAGCACCATGTTTTTTTTCTCTCACTTGATCCATAGCTTTACTTTTCTTCATTCGAATAGTAGTCGGTACTAGATCTATATTATTCATGATGTCTTAGCAAATATCTGCTTCTTTTAATCTGGTATGAACGTTTGGTGCATTGAACTGTTTGACAGGTTTCAAGTGATGAAGCTATCGAGATGGCAAAGGCTCTTGCATTGAAAGAAGGGTTGCTGGTAAGATTTGTGTTTGATGTTCATTTCTGTGCTCTATTATTAATCTGTAGGTACACAAATTGCTTTTGTTAAGCCTCTCTATGTACGGATCATTCGGATGGTACCTTTGCTGAAGTCATCAGTGATGTAAATAATTGTAGGTTGGAATATCTTCAGGTGCAGCTGCAGCAGCAGCTGTTAGGCTCGCTCAGAGGCCGGAAAATGAAGGAAAACTTTTTGTTGTAAGCGTTTCATTTTTCTTACCTCTGAATTTCTAATGCCCTGTGGCTTAAAGCTACTTCGACTGCACCTGCATTTGTTTATCCATTTGGTATTTTAGTCCAAATGTACAGCAGTACAGATATACTCCAAATTTACACTCCAGTGACCTAGAGGAAAAGCTAACGAATCTGAGTTCTTGTTTTGTCATTGTGGCATCTATAATTTCAATTCGCATAGAACGAACTGCCGTCCAAAACAAGCACTATCTCCACATTTGTCATGACCCAAGGCCATGACGGGATAAACCCATGGACAACATTGTCGATTTGTTTCATCATGCTCATCCCCACACTAACACCTTTCCCTCAATGTAGGTTGTCTTCCCAAGCTTTGGTGAGCGGTACCTTTCGTCGGTGCTCTTCCAGTCCATCAAGAAGGAAGCTGAAAACATGGTGGTTGAATGAAATGCACAATATCCGGGAATCCACAGGAATAAAAGTTTGGTATCTCTGCTTGTGTGATTAAACATACATTGTCCTGCCATTTTCAAGTTGTTCTGCTTGTGTAGCAATGGGGAACACAGTGTGTTAGCCTTGTAGTGTTAAACAGTTTACATTTTATCTTCCCTGTATATCAGAACCCTTTACATGGGCATTTGTCAGCCAGTGTGAATGAAATAAAGCATCATATGATTTGTCTCATGTTTTGGGATCTCGTCTGAACCATAATATTCTTATAAGAGAACAAGGCCCTGTTTAGTTCACACCAAACTTCTCCCAACTTTCCATCACATCACATCCAAAACTTTCTTGCTCACATAAACTCCTAACTTTTTTTCCAAACTATCAACTTTTCCTAAACTTCTCCCTAATTTTAGGAACTAAACACAGCCCAAGTCTCATGTTTTGGGATCTTTCTCTGAACCACAAATTCTCATAAGAGAACAAGTCTCATGTTGGATCTTTCTCTAAAGTCTGAACCATAAATATTCTCACAAGAGAGCAGTAGTGCTCTGAAGAATGACATCAGGCCCAAATAAGGGTTGTACCAGTTTATGGGCCATGGGCCATGACTGACAGAGAAAATACAAAATAGTAGTACTGATGAACATTGATGCTCCTAGTCCTTGCTGCTGCTGCTAACTGGCTTTTGCAGGAAAAAGGAGCCAACATCAGTCAAAAAGGTGCAATGCAGGCTATGCTCATGTTCCAGGAACTGTTTTGGCTGTTGCCTGTTGGCATTGCCAGGGTGCAGTACACCATCATTCATTGGTTTAGTTACCTGTTACTACTAGTAAATGCACAACCTTGGTCCTGTAGAAATGGAGCCACGCTCACATTGATTTTGACCTGACCTGATCTATAGTTTTGCTTTAATTTTTTTTTATTTAAAAAAAGGTCAATAGCTGCTTCTTCTAGGGATTAATCTGAATCAAGAAACCAACTTTGTCAACATCTTTGGTGAGTTTTTAGGAGCATCTTCAGTGAATTCACTTGCAGACAAGACTAGCATTGTCCATTGTCTAAGCTACTACTCCTATCTAGGCACTTGACTTTCTTGTTTCTACTGCTTTATTATTTTTGTAGTGGTATAAATCATTCATAGCATCAGCGACAAAGGACAAGGCTGATCCAATGTACTCCCTCCCTCCAAAAAAAAAAAAAGACAAATCTGGTTTTCGTGTCCAACATTTGACTGTTCGTCTTATTTGAAAAAATTATGAAAAAAAAATAAAAAGATAAGTCATGCATAAAGTATTAATCATGTTTTATCATCTAACAACAATGAAAAAACTAATTATAAAAAAATTTTATATAAGACGGAGAGTCAAACGTTGGCACGGAAACTCAGGGTTTGCCTTTTTGGGGGGGGGGGGGGGGACGGAGGGAGTATACAGCTTTGCCTTTTCTCTGCTGACATTTAGGGAAAGGCAAGCAAAACTATGAACTGAAAAAGAGTGAGCTTTTAACTTGCAAGAACACGCATGGCGGCATGGGTGAGTTTCTTCAGACAAGTACAGGATTGAGCTTCTCGGCCACCATGATTTATGATTTACAGAGCTTTAATTGTCAGTAAAATTGCAAGCATGAATATGGCAGAAGAGGGCCAACCATGTGCAACCAAAAAAGGCTCCAACATGATAAAAGAACAGCAGAAAGGTAGCCTGGACTAGACCTTCCTTTCCTTTGCTTTAACTTTTGAGTGGACAGGAAGACTACAAGCACAGCTGCATCATTGTTCGTCATCTCCAGCCATGGAAATTGTCTCAGTGTGCAAGAGTAGAGCCTGCAGAGAGATTTCTGAATTGAAGACAACTTTGTGGTCTGAAAAAATCTGAAATCTGCAGGGCATTGATTCATGCAGTCTATCTGATCTACTGTTGAGCAGAATTTGCTACCAGGAAAACAATCAGTTATGATTTTGTTGCATTTGCTAAGATTTTGTTGTCATAAGATCAGATATTAGGTGGACTATAACAGTTATTAATCAAGATATTTACCATGTAGCTTGCAATTTTCAGGTGATTGGCCTGAATTTTAGCACACTAACAGGAAACATGAACCCTAAATCTATCTGGGGCTCATGGCATGTCCAAGGAGATACGATTTGCGGTTTTGCACCCCACCAACAAAACCACACAATGAGAAGCTCTCATTCCACTTCAGAAAAGAATGACAAATACTACTATAATGAGAATTATGAACATATGGAGAAGAGGCCAAAAGGGGCATGGCTGAAGTATGTGCAAAGATCATAGATGGTGCAGGATATAATCTAAGAGGCTTGCTCTCATTCCATCTTGCAGACACATTCAGCAAGTATCACAGAACATAGTCTAAGAGGCTGCTCTGAATTCTGATTTCCATCTTGCAAACATATTCAGCGAGTATCACAGAACAAGCATGCTGCAAGACAATGGTGGGATAACAAAGGTAGCAACCACCCATTGGTATTAAACTGATGATCTCCAACAACTAGCAGATTAATTTCTCAAGTTAAAAAACGGCTAGAGCTAACAAAGAGTTCATGACGCCTAACTAGATTCTGCTTTCGTTTTCTCAGCATCTAAGGCTGAGAGCCCCTAAAAGCTCAATGCAGCAGATTGAGATGTGATTATCAGCTCACTTCTACGACCAAGGAGCCCGCCTAAAATTCAATGAGACAGATTAAGATGTTCTTCACTATCAGCTTACTTCTACAACTGAAGAGTTCCTAAAACTAAACGCAACAGATCGAGACGTTCCCGACCACCAGTTCACTTCCTTGGGTGTGGAACAGAATTCCTCAGCTGCATGACCTTCTTATGAGAATTGGAGTGTATGTCACTCACAAAAGTTGGACTATTAGCAGGCCTGTATTCCGGCAGCAGCCTGCCAGACTTGAACCTCACACCGCAAGCATTGCATAGCGTCTTAGGCCCCAAGGGACCGGTCCTCCACTGTGGCGTCTTGTAGGACAAGCAATGGGTGCACCTCTTCATTGGCTCCTCCGATAGCAGCTCATCATTCACATAAACAGCCTTCTTGATCTTCTTCTTATCTCGCCGCTTTCCTATGTCCTGTTCTTTGTCAATCTCTTGGCCATAGCGCTTCTTGGAACTGGTGGTGTGCCCATTCCTCGCCTCAATCCTCAGACGACAAGCATCGCAGGTAGGCCCTGATGGACCATCCCACCACTGTGGTGATTGGCTGGACAAACAATAGCTACAAGTGATCACCAGTTGCTCCTGCTGGAATTGCATTCCTGCACTCATTTTGTAATTCTCTTCCTCCTCTTGTTCTTGCTCTTGGACAAGTTCTTCATCTTTGTCCTTCTTGGGGAGGATAAGCTCACTCTCTGCTAGCCAGTCCTTATGATCGAGCAGGAGTAGCGGTGGCTCGACAAACAGCGTGATACAATGTTGGTCATCAGTGTCGCTTATGACAGATGCCAGGCTCCTTTTCTTTTTTCTTGCATTGGTAGATGAGCGTGGTGGTAACTTTGGTTTTGCAGCACCTTGACTTGCCATTGTAATAGGCGGTAGTTCTGCAGAGACAGGGTTTGTGCAGGATGCAGAGGTTGACAAGCAGTCCTCTACATAGACAGAGAGCCACTCTATGCCACTTCTATCACTTTCCTGCAAAGTAAAGAAATGTTAGACAAGATTGCAATGGCGAAAACAATTATCTATCCATCTTTTAAAAACTAAATTACATAACAGTGAAGGAATTATAGCTTTACAAAGCTCTCGTTCTACTAGATTACAGCAAGACATGCATGGAGGTCCAAAATCAAAAAATAAAGTTAGCTGAAGCATGGCGCAATTAAATTCCTCAAAAGTTTTTTTTTTCTGACAAAAATTAGCAAAGACAAAATTCCAGGGGTCAGTATCAGCTGTTTCTGGTATACAGCGGTAACAAACTTGAAGTTCATATATCTCAAGCATCAAGAAATTTATGGCCCCTCAAAGATAGAATGTGCAGCATCTACAATTTGTAATTGTGGCAAGGAATACAAAACTGCCACAGCAATCACTCAGTTACAACTTGCAATTAAACACTATAGCGGGCAGTGGGCACACAATAGGATCAATTGCAGTAAATGCTATACCTGCAACAGACCAAAAGAAACTCCAAACCAAAAGAGAGCTAGGCAACCACATTTCACATGGGGATGCAGGCAGTAGGCCCTTTATTGAATTCTAACAGTAAAGCTTTAGAATTACACAATAAAATTGAACAATGCCTAAAAGAAATTAGGATAAAGCTCAGTGCCTCTTATCAATTGTTTCCGGCAACAATAAAGGTTTTTCACCCGAATTGACAAAGTAAAAAAAATTGGCTGTCGCAATCTTGCATGCACATCATCCCATCGACGAAAGAAGATTTTTACAATGGACACGTCTATGCAATGACAGTGATGGTAAGGGAATAACATATACACACATCGATATTGAAAGTCACAAAGCAATACATGCATTTCTTCCCTGTGACCTCACAACTAAGCCAAAAACAAGATGCAAGATTGGCATGAACATAGTCTTGTTTATTTTCCCTATGAAGCTCTGCTGGAAAAAAGTGTGCGGCTGAATGAATTGCTCAACAACTGTAAATATATTTGTTTCTCTATGAACCAAAAAAATTCTTTCCAATTTATAGGTAGGAAAAGGTGAAGAAAAGGGCGAGGAAATGCAGCACGCATGAATAGGAAGGTAAGATAGTTCAAGAAACAAAGGAAAATCCCCCATTTTCTTCTATGCAAACATAATAGTGGAGAAAATTCATCTAAACGGTAAAGAACACAAGTGAAAGGAAAAAAAAACCCAAACCCTAGGTCCTAGAACAATAATATCAAGAAACTAGAGAATAGGCCACCACAACCGCACCAAATTCTTGTACCAAAAACCCCCAAAACCCCCAACACAAAAACTCCCAAGAAATCCCCAATTTAGAAAGAAGAAAAAAAGAAAATCCCCAAAGAAAACATCCAATACTCCCCAAGAAAAAGAAACCATCTTCCTCCCCAATTCCTCCTCCCCACGGAAGAGCAACCCAACCACGCCCGGTTCTTGGCAAGAAAAAAAAACTTATACCAAAGCACACATACACACACACAGCAACAGCAAGAAGGGGGGAAAGAAAGGGGGAAGCAACAAAGCTAGGAGGCCCGGAGCACTGACCGTGGCGGGCTGGTGCGGGAACAACTCCTCCAGCGAGGAGGCGGCCGCATTCGGCGGGTGCACATCCATGCCCAGCGACGAGGAGGAGGCAGCCGCACGGTTGAGGAGAGAGAAAGAGAGAGAGAGAGAGAGAGAGAGAGAAGCGGAGGAAGAAGAGGGGGTAGGTTTCCGCTTGGAGAGGGGAGGGAGGGTTTCGCTTTTATCTGAGCCGGATTGCTCTGGCTCGCTCAGTGAGCCCAGCCGTCGGCTCGTGAGCCGAGCCGAGCAAGTACTCAATACTGGCGATAATACTGGCCTGTTTAGTTCCGAAATAAATTTTTCATGCTATCACATCGAATGTTTGAATACATGCATATAGTATTAAACGTAGACAAAAAGAATTAATTACACAATTCGCCAGGAAATTGCGTGACGAATCTTTGAAGCCTAATTGCGCCCTGATTTGACAATATGGTGCTACAGTAAACATTTGCTAATAACGGATTAATTAGGCTTAATAAATTCGTCTCGTAGTTTTCTGGTGGAATCTTATTTGTTTTGTTATTAGACTATATTTAATACTTTAAATGTGTATCCGTATATCTGATGTGGTATGCAGGGCAAAAATTTTTGCGAACTAAACATGCCCTAACTGACGAGCTGTGGTGAGCTGTGGCTTTGGCTAGGCTTGAGCCTGGAACGAACTGGGCTCGACTATGTGTTTTGGTGGGTGTTTTTTCCTTCTAATAAGAAATTAGTATTAGGAAAAACAATGTCAATATATATATTGGGGATATATATCTATCACAATGAATACGTAAATCTGCAGCAAATCTGGTTTTGTTTTCATATTCCTTCTCCCATTCAATTCAGTTCTTGCACTTTTTCCATTGAGTAAATTTCACATTACTGTAATTATTTGTTCAAAAGTAGGTATTTCGTGAAACTATAACTAGCATTTTTTTAATTCAAAACTATATATTTTCCCTTGCATGTACACGACATATGGGCCCAATTTACAACACCGGTATTACATAGGTGTATCATGTGTGGTTCTAAACTTGTTAGACAAATAAAATTATACATTATCGATTATCGTTACAGATATCCGAAACATCCATCTAAATCTATAAACAAATTAGTTGCAGTTATTCATTTCATTTATTATGTTTGGCGCCTGCCAATTTTGCTGCCAAATTTTCATACTGCTCTCCCTCCATTTTCTGCTCTTCCTCTTCCTACCTACGCAAGCAAAGTAAAGCAAAGCTGAGCAAAGCAAGGCAGCAGGGCATTGTGTCACTCATTGTGTGAGCCAACCTCCTCTTGGACCCCCTTTTCCTTACTTCCTTCCAAAAAGGACAGCACAAACTGCTGCAGATTTTTTTTTAATATTGCACCTCCCTTTCCTTGCTGAAGAAAAAGAGGAGGTGAATCTGAATATATACTCCATGATGTTGTCATGGCCTTTTTGCTGCTTTGATCTCTCTGGCTTTACCTGCTCTTCAGGCAATTGAACTTGTACTGCTACTACACTTCATCTTCCAAAGCTTTTTCACAAGAATGGTGCCTTTAGTTGTTTTCGAAGAATAACCTCTTGTTTAACCTATAGTTGATTATAGGCCGTAACGGCTTATCACCGAGAAAAAATAATTTATTTGTAAATTTTTTATATATACTTGTATAGCGATTTAAAAGTAAAAGCTAAAAAATAAAAATATGAAAACCCCCTTGAAATCAACTCCAAAATTAAGTTTTAAAACTTAATTTTCTATAGCAGTTTATAGGCTGAAAAGCAAATGATTGAGTTAAGTGATGATGGAAAGAAACAAGTGCAACCATGGCCTTGTTTGGATCCTCCGAGCTATTAAATAGCCCTCCAGAATTTTGCTATTTAGGAGTATTAAACGTAGATTACCGATAAAACCGATTCTATAACCCCTAGACTATTTTGCGAGACGAATATAATGATGTATATTAATCCATGATTAGCGGCTGATTACTGTAGCATCACTGTAGCGAATCATAGATTAATATACCTCATTAGATTCATCTCGCAAAATAGCCTAGCGGTTATGGAATGGGTTTTGTCAGTAATCTAGGTTTAATGATCCAAACAGGGCCATGAGGACAGTTTGGAAGATGACGAACTGTGTGTGAAGGTGACGAACTGTGTGTGCAGAGCCTCTTGGCTGTTACTGACCTGAATAGCATTAATAGAAATATATAGCTTTGGATGCCATGAGGACAGTTTGGTCACACTCCATGAGCAGGGGCACATAGAAATGAGGTATCCTTCCTTCCTTGCATATGCATTGGTTAATAGCAGATGTTCTCTTCCACAAGGAAACAAAGAGGGTTCTTATTTAGTTCAGTGATTATAAAAGGCAGCATTTCCATCATCAATTCTTTTTAAATTGTATGTATTCTATTCATATAATACCCTTCAGCAACCACTGTACAATGTTAGTGTGTGCTCGTTGTAGTTCATGGCTTTAATTTCTAGGCTTATAGTTTACAAGTTATGGCATTGTATTATTGTTTTTCTCGACATAATAGACACGCCAACTTGGTTGGTTTCACAAAAACTATGTTTTGTTTAGAAAATCAAGACAACATGGGTTTTACAGAAAGAAAAAAAAAGAGGGGGAGTATGGGTTGACTAATAAAGTCGTGGCTCTAAGGAAAAATGCACCAACTCATGAACAGCCCCTAGCATTGGATACGAAGCACAATCAGGATTTCCTTTCCTTTATCACGGTAAGGATACTCCTTTCGGTAGTAAGCCTAGTAACCACATGATTAAAAAAAAGGGAGAAGTTTTAACAAGATTAAAGTTTTGTTTAATTTTTTTAAAACATGGCTGATATACAGAGCAATTTAATTACCCTACCAAGGGGTAGGCCCTGTTACCATGATAGCTATAGCATCAAACATGCCATAGAGGGGCTAAATAGAGATTTAAAAACTAAAGGCTGAGATTACACTCAATTGTGATAAACAAAAGCTACTACATGCGTAGGGTTCAAAACTAGCATGGCACAAGCTTTTTTAACTTATTTGAAGTCCTACTCAATTCTAGTAATGTAATTGCAAGCAGTAGAGAGATTGAGATATGAAGATCAAGCACGGAGACACGGAGACTTTTTAGCAAGGTATCATAGACTCAGTAATCTATTAGTCCTCATTGGAGCACTCTACATTATAGTCTCACTTCTTTTTATGGTCACAAAGTCCATAGCCGCTCTTTTGTATAGCTATTCTTCACTATGGAAGCCAAACTCCAACTCTCCAAGCCTTTCCCAAGATCATCGGGTCTTCCACAAAATCCTTAAGAGATGCCATGAATAACAAGATGAAAACTTCACTTGAAGCTACTCAGCACTACTCTTTTGTGAGTGCGTACAAAGCCACTACCTCGCTCAAGTAATCACTCTGAAAGCTTAAGTCCTCCACGAGTTATCTCAAGTTGCAATGTTATCCAAGAGATAGGAACAGGTACATAGCATAGAGTATTTAGTCTCGACTAGCACTGTATATTTATACCTCAACTACACAAACTAGCCATTTTTAAACATTGCCTTTGAAGTGCATAGGACATAGTCTAACCCTTTAAACTTTTGCGATGGTCACTGAAACAACTAGCAGTTGCGCTATAAAAGGGCAGATAGTTCGATCTTCACCGGACTGTCTAGCTGGTGATTGTTTGGCTAATCCAACCCATAGAAAGTACATTGCCTAGACTTGTTCGGTCCATTGGTGATCAACTTCATCCGGATAGTCCAGCTTGCCTAGTCATTTCAGCCTATTGAAGTTGAGCTGGACAAATTCATTGTCCTACGCGTCAAATTTGTATATAACAAATTGACCAGCCATTTGAAAAACAAACTATTCAGACAAGTCTAGACCAGGTTGGAAAAACAATAGCTCTGACCTATTTGGTTGCACCCAAGCTATCTGGCCCACTGAGCCATTAGGGCAACTTAAAAGAAATGCATCAACGATTCATCGAGCTCACTTCAACTTCAACCATAAAGACTTAGCATTTGATTTGAGAGGCTAGCAGACCCTAGTATGCACCGCTTTTCTTGTATCTAAAAAAACATCTAGATTTATTCTCGCCGTCTCAAAATAAACTAACTTTTATCAACAAATCTAGACATAAACAACTTCTGATTATGAATCTAGATATTAACTATGTCCAGATTAATAGCGACAAGTTGGGCCATGGGTAACTAAAAATGCCCATACCGCCTTTGCGTTAATGGGCCTGGGACTCCTACCGACGGCCCTACTCGACCCGACTCCCGGAGGCGGAGATCGACTTCGCCCCGCCCCGCCCCGCCGCCTTCCTCCGCCGCCGATCTCCATCCCGCGAGGGTGAAGCAGCGTTGCCGGCGTCGTCCCCCTCCTGCTCACTTCCTCTTCCTTCCGCTCGCCGCCGGTGAGCACCCCGTATCCCTCTCATCCCTCTCCGCTCTTTCTCCCCTCTTCTAGGTTTCGAAGCTCTTTCCTCTTTGCCTTAAACCCTTGTTAGGACTAGGAGTAGTAGTTTTAGTTCTTTGCTCCATAGAAAATATTTGTGGGCGGTTGAATCGATTGCGAGTTGCGGCAATCTCTGATGCTGGATTTCGTATCGACAGGGGGCGCGCTCTCTCTGATGGTGATGGATCCCCTTACCAACAAGGCTGCCTTCAGTGGCCTGAGACAGTATGTGAAGGAGCTTGATTCGAACACGCTCCCGCCATTTCTTGCCCGCGTTTGTGACCCCGTGAAGCCATGCTCCTTCTCCGAGGAGGAGATGCTGTGCATCTTCGAGACCGCCGCGCAAGCGCACGGCCGCAAGATTGTGCCGCACATCGCCCTGATCGTCTCGGCAATCGTTAGGATGATGTCCTCGCGGAATGCCGTTGGTTGCTCCAAGGTTGTTTGCGCGCTATCGCGGTACGTTGTTGATCCTCTGGCGACGGAAGCGTTGAAAAGCGCGATCATTGGCTCGCTTTGTCGTCCCTTTGCAGATTGTCTGATGAGCACTAAGGTGGAGAGCAACTCTTTTGGCTCTGCTCTTTGTGTCGCCGCGCTTGTGCAATCCAACAACTGGCGGTTTGCGTCTAACGAGCTGGTTAATGATGTCTGCTTGAAAGTCTCAGGGGCCCTAGAGGAGGCGCATGCTCAGAGTATCGCGCACTTAAACTTGGTGGTTGTTTTGCTGACACAAAATCCACTGATGCTTGAGCCTTATGGCCGATCTTTGATTCGATCGGGCTTACAGATACTGGATGAGAGTGCTAAGGCAAGCAGTTCTCAGATGATTATTTCATCGATTCAAATGATACATTCCATCATGAAGGGTTTGGATCTAGGCATTATATCTTCTGAGATCAGTAGTATTATCCATGCTATGGAACAATTCCAGGACGACACTATGCCAGCCATCAGCATTGCAGCTTTCGAGGCATCTGAGACTGCTAAGCTACTTGTTGGCAGGCAAAAAGAGAGTGGGCATGACAATAATTTGAGTCAGTTAGCAAACTATTCTGTAAGAAATGGCAGAAAGGGTTCATATTCACATTCTCTCATGGATGATGCGGATATCAGAGACGATGGTTCATGTGATTCACATTCTTGTGACCTGAACTCTGTTCATTTGTCTACTGATTTTGATTCTCAACATTCAGTGGGACAATGTGGTTCTGGAAGCACACGTGCAAGGCGGCAGCTATGGTGTAACAAATCTGACAAATCACATGGAATGTCCAATCATGACTTATTTCGCACTGTTATTCCAGATAGTCATGAGGCTTCAGGTTTGATGGCACATTTCAGCTCTGTTGATCCAATTAAGCCAGACAGGAGGTTGTCAGATGTGCCAACAAGAGTTGCTGGCCCATGTTATGTCTGTTCAGCAGCGCATGAAACGAATCACTGCTCTCAGGTATGCGGCAGAAACTCATAGCAGCTTTGATCTACTTAAAATGTCAAATGTGTTGTATGATTAAATACTTGCTTTTCTTTAACATATTATTTCCATTCCTTAGCCCCAAATAGCATGAACATATTTTGATGTCACTTTCATATACCATCCACATATATGTTAATTGTTTGGATATGCATTTTCATTAGCGTGCTGAAGATTTGTCTTTCAGTGGTTTATATTTGACATGATTTTGGGTTGAAGACATAACTTCCTTAGAATTAAATGAATTTACATCTCTCTCACTTTGTCTCATGTTTTATTTCAGATATCCAGGGCACAGGTTTTATCAGGTGACATGAGGATGAATTCTACTCCAAGAAAGCAACTCCATTCTTGCACCTTCTGTAGAGACCCAGAACAAGATGGTCACCCACCACTTGAAAGTCCAGCTATACAACACTGCTCAGGGCCAGGTACTAATATTCTTCAGTTCAGAAAAAACAGTGAGCTTAAGGAAAGAAAAGAATTTTGGGACTCAATTCGGCAGGAAAATCAATGCCATATGCAAAACACTGATGCCCTAATAGAAGATTTGAAGTTCCCGGCTGACGATGATGATGAGGATTTTGATGGTGCAGCCAAATCTCCATGTCAAGAATGTCAAGCTGTGAATGAGAAGAAGACTGGAGGCAAGAAAAGAAATGCAAACCGTTCTCACTATCCAGTTTTTCTTTTCGTTTTTGTTGTGGCAATCATTGCTCTCTTCTTTCCTTGGTGGAAGGACTACAAAGAGCCTTATGTTGTTCCTACATAAACATATCTGTTTGTTTTGCGATGTGCATCAAGCCATCCGTTTTTTCAGGAATTGTATGGTGGCAATCTTTAGTATACAGAAATTATAGGCAGCAGTTTACATGGATGACTTTGAATGGTGTAAATTCTGTGATAAGGTGATGGAATGGTTAAAAAGTTGTACCATTTCTGGATGTACTTTTCTCTTATGTGGTCATAAAAATCCTTAGTGTTATGTATCAGCATGGAAGTTGAAGTTCTCTGCTATGATAAGAAGTTTCAGTACTACAAGGCAGCACGTTCTTGGTATCATGGGTACCAGGTTTTTTATCTTCCGCTGCAAACGTTGGTTTTCTCAATTTAAACCGGCCGTTTGAAACCCTTGTTCTCTGTAATCGGTGATTCAAACAATCAACATGGTTAGCATCTTGTGTGAGTTAAGATTGTGGCATTACAGGACAGCATGCATGTGTAACTAGTTGCTGGGACTAGATACTCTGTTACATTGAATTTCTTTCTTGTTTATTTCAAAATGCAGATAAAACTCTCCATTGTATCCATTGTATTAATGGTTGTCAAAACTCAAAAAGGATATTATACAACTTACATTCTTACAAGCATATGACTGAACTTTGAGAAACTATAAATAAGGGACTGTTTAGATCTCACCCAAAAATTTTACACCCTGTCATATCAAAAGTTTAAACACCTGATAAGTATTAAATATAGGCTAAAAAAATAAGTAATTTCACAGATTGTGACTAATTTGCGACGAATTTTTTAAGCCTAATTGCTACATGATTCGACAATGTGGTGTTACAGTAAACATTTGCTAATGACGGATTAATTAGGTTTAATAAATTCGTCTCGAGGCTTACTGACGGCTAATGACGGATTAATTAGGCTTAATAAATTCGTCTCGAGGCTTACTGACGGATTCTGTAATTATTTTTTATTAGTGTCCGAACACCCCATACAGCACCCTATATAATATTCGATGTGACACGCCAAAACTTTACACCCCTGTATATAAACACCCCCTAAAGCACTGTAGAATGCTACACTTCACTGAAAGGAAAGCACTGTTTGATTAGCATTCTGAATGTTAGTTTTCTTTTTTCCTTGATCTGAATCGCAATATATATTGTAGATTGCATTGCAGTTTTTTGCTTATATATGGCTTCGTCTACATCCAGAAGGCCACAGGAGAGAACCATGAGAAATGCTTGGGCACTCGGAACGACCCGGCGGCGCGGCGAGCCGTCGCCTTCAGTTCTCCCCGCCGGTTGTACTTGAGCCCAAACACGGCGACATGGACCTCACATTGCGGCGGCGTGACCACGCCGCCGCCGTCGTCGCCGTCGCATTCCACGCAGTCGACGACGCAGAACTTGCTGTCGCCCATGTAGGTGAGCGTGGCGCGTCGACGGCCGCCGGGGCGGCGGCGGCTCTTCTTCCACGACGGCACCACGTCGTCATCGTCCATGGTGTCCCACTCCGGCGGCCGCGCGCCGCCGCGGGACGGGACCTGGCAGGCGCAGATGGTGTCCCCGTGGCGCGGGAGGCCGACCCAGGCGTCGAGCTCGGCGTCGAAGAAGCCCTGGCCATGGAACGGCAGGAGCCAGCCACCGTGCCGCCTCCACTCGCCGCGCTTGGTGTCCACCGTGTACGTGCCGCCGCCGCCGTCGCCGGAGGTGGAGACGAAGACGGTGTGGCCGTCGGGGTGCACCGCGTAGGCGGCGACGGCCTCCTCGACCGGCGGCGGCGGCGGCGCCACGGGCGCGTTCTTCCACGACCAGCCGCCGCCCGTCGACAGCACCTCGAAGGCGCGAGGGAAGCGCTCGCCGAGAGACGTGAGCGCGTACAGCCTCTCGCCGCCGGGCATGGCGATGGCCATCCCGCCGGCGAGGAGGCCGGGGAGCGGCGACTCGACCGTCAGCGCGGCCGCGCCCGTGTCGTACACCAGCGTCGGCGCCGCGTCGGACACCATGACGACACTGTCGCCGCACATGGGGAAGAACCGCGCGTCGCACGACGACCTCGGCGCCGCGAACCGGACGGCTGGACCGCCGCCGCCGCCGTGGATAACCCCGGCGTCGTCGAGGTCGACGTCGAGCTTGTGGATGCTGTAGCCTCTGTCCCAGTCGTCGAGCACCAGGTAGAGATGCTTCTGCTGCGGCGGCGCCGGCGGCCGCGGCCTCTTGTCGTGGTGATGTCGCCGGTAGGCCTCGCCGCCGTCGTCGTCGTCGTCGTCCCGCCGCCGCCTAGGCATCCCGAGCGATCGGTGTTTGGGCGCGAGCTAGATGGATGGTTTGATCCACTTTGATTACACGTGCATTGCATATATATAGCCGAGGTAGTTATGGCGGTTGTAGTGTCCGAATCCGATTCGAACATGGGTTACATGGGGTGAGAAACCGACTCCGACTCGACCTACAGGAGAAACGGAGTCGGACGCGCTGTGTGACGCCGTTGTTTCGGACAAACTTTCTCCAAGTTCAGGAATGCTGGGAGGCGACAGCAAATCGAGTGTTTGATTTTAACCTTTTTTTTTCTTTAAAATTTGGGCGATGTTTTACCGCTACCTGAAAAATGTTTCATGTATTGAAACGTACTATTATTTTCACATATGGAACATTAACCAATTACAAGATTCTTAAACAAAAATATGAAACACCATCGAAGTATCAAGGACAACGTTTCAATCCAACCCAAGAAAGATGCATTTTCTGAAACATTAAAAACTCATAAAAATGTACTAGTACAAATTTGATTTCTTCCTCCTATCCGCCTATCTGGTGGGCTCCTATGGTTTCTGCTGCAAATCCACTAGACATTGCTCTTCTACTCCATCAATGTGAATAGCCGCTGCCACCCAAGCCTAATTCACCTTATCATTATCATTCCCGATAATGATTCTATCCGATCAACCGGGTGGGGGGGGGGGGAGCAAAAATCGAACGCTCCCCCCGCCCCCGCCCTAGAGGTGGCCAAACGGGCGGCACGGCCCGGCCCGGCACGGGCACGGTTCCGGCACGGCCCGTTTCGGCACGGCCCGTTAGGCACGGCTGATGAAACGGGCCGTGCCGTGCCGGCCCACGTGCCGAGCCGCCGGCCCAAGCACGGCCCGTGGATGGCCGGGCCGTGCCCGTGCCGGCACGGCACGCCCGCGGCCCACGGGCCGTTCGGGCCACGGGCCGTGCACAGTGTTTTTTTTTTTTTAAAAAAAAGGAAAGGAAATGTATAAGGAAAAAAAAATTAAAAATGGAAATAAAATGTTTAAAAAAAAGTAATGATTTACTAATGTTAAAAAATGAAAAAATGGTATTTAAAAAATGGAAATAAAAGTTTTTTAAAAAAGTAATGATTTGGTAATGTTAAAAAAAAAGAAAAAATGGTATTTTTTTGTTGTGTTGAAAAATTTAAAAATATAGATTGTGATTCATTATTTTGAAATAATTTAAAGGTAAATCCACACTTGCGAAAATATTGCAAAAGAATTTGTTAAAAATAGTAATGACCTTTATTAATGTTTATATCATTACAGGATACAATGATACATGCTGCCTCGTTAAAAACTTTGTCATGTAAAAACTCATAGGGGAAAATGAGAAAACCATGACAAAGAAAAGAGTACAGCTCAAAGGTCAGAACTTACTTCTAACAAAATTCTACTGGGGTTGGTCTGGATCCAGGTAGAGTTGCTCGAAGTGGGCGGCCAATTCTTGGTTGTCCGCAGTGTATTGGGCATGTTGTCGAGCAAGCTCCCAGTCTTTAACGCTTAGTAGCATTTCGACGTGGTCGCTGCGCAGAGTCGTCCTCCGGTCTTCGATGATTCGGCCGCATAGACTGAAGGCCGATTCGGAGGACACCGTCGACACGGGCACCGTCAACACATCCCGTGCTAGTTTTGAAAGCACAGGATATGTTATCTTGTGGTCATTCCACCACCCGAGGACGTTGAAATCTTGTGCTTCGTGGTGGATGGCGTCGCTGTCCAAATAACCGGACAACTCTTCGGCCACAACATGCGAAGAGGCGTCTCCACTTGTAGCCGACGAACTGCCACCACCTTGGATTGAACTTGAAGACGATCCACCCCAAATCCTACCCCACTGTATCTTCTTCTTACCTGTAGTGGGGATAGGAGGGGGTCTCCGCTGGCGAACTTCCTGAAACTTTACTTCATATCTTCCAAAAACCTCATATAATTTACGTCTAACCTCAGTATAAAAAGAACTATAATCTACACCTATAGTATCTCCAACAAGTGATAAAATAGCAGACAATCCCCTTAATTTACACCTAGGATCTAAAACAAAAGCAAGAGCATACAACATAGGTATATTTTTCCAATATTTCAAATATTTTTGTTTCATGTGAAAGACAGGTTCAGTTAGAACGTCATCATTTTCGTATTCTTTAAATAAAGTAGCAATTTCAAGAAGGTTGTGCAAAATTATATTAGCAGTTGGATAATAAACATGTGACAAAGTTAGAGTACAATCATAAAAAGTTTCTAGAAATTGGTAAAATTTTTGTACAATTGCCCAAACATGCTCGTTCAGTACTGAAGACCCGTCACTGTTTCTTGGGCCACCACGTGACTGAACAAAATCAGAAAGTAAACTACTATAAGGTAAAACAACTTTTAACATTAAATACGTTGCATTCCACCGATGCTCTGCATCGGTGGCAAACTTACGAGCTTCCACACCGGCCGCATTGCAAAACCTCTTCCATGCAGCAATCCGCGGGTTAGAAGCAGTTAACCACGCGATTGCTTGACGAACAGCATCGATGTGGTCACCTACCCTCTTCATGCCAGTCTTAACAATCAAATTAATTATATGACATGCACAACGCTGATGGAGTAGAAAAGATTGAGCATACACACAAAATAAAGGTTGCAATATTTCAATAGCTCTAGAATTAGCAGATGCATTATCTAGGGTGACAGCAAATATTTTATCAGCAAGATTAAATTCATTAATTACTTCCCTAATTCTTTCAGCTATGTTTTCTCCTGTATGTGAGACATCTATTAACCTAAGCCCTAAAACTCTCTTTTGTAATTGCCAATCATCACATCAACAAAATGAACAACTACGCTAAGATAATCCTCTCTAGCTCTACTACTCCATATATCTGAAGTAACACAAACAGAGAAAGTACATGTACTAAACAGTTCCTTAAGTGCAGTTGCTTCCTTGTGATAAACATTCTCTAAATCTCTAGTTGATGTTTGCCTACTCACAGCTTTAAACCTAGGGTTATGAGATTGCTGAATGTAATGTTCAAAAGCAGGGGACTCCCCAAAGTTCAGGGGTAAATCTTGCCTGGCGATTAACCGGACAAGAGATTCCCGAGCAACCATGGGATCGTACTCCCAACTGCGTACCGTACCGTCTGGGTTTACCATAAGTTGCTGCTGCCGGAGTTGTATTCCTTGCTTCTTGGCACACGACTCCGCATGGCGCTTGAGGTGACCTGTACCACCAGAAGAACGAGCAGATAAAATTTGCCTACATATTCTACAACGGGCTTTCGATATCTCCCTTCCGTCGGGGCATGTTTCCTTTATCTCGTCGAAGCTTTGCCACACACCGGAGGTTCTCGATCTCTTCGAGCTGGTGTGTGTCGAAACACTTCCGCTCGCGGTTCCGGAAAATCCTTCCGAAGCTGTCTCCGCCTGAACCGGTACCTCCTCAACGACAGCCGTATGAACCGGTACCTCCTCCACAGATGGTGGAGTTGGAGCCGATCCGGAGGTACCGTCAAACCCCGACATGTAGTTGGGGTCGAAATCACCCAAGGTGAACGACGGCGACTGGTATGGAAAGTTCGGATCCATTCTGAAAATTTAAACCGACATAAACAAATTTTCGAATATTTATTGAATTCACAAACACAATACAAATAATACACAAATTTGAATATTACTTACATCTTTCCAACCGCGAGCTCTTCAAACCTCTGCGATCAAACTGTTGAACTACGAAACTAATTTTGATTTTTGACAAAATTTGAGCAAATTTTGTCAAAATAAAAAAAAATGCACACTTGAGAACAAAGAGAGCACTTAAAACACTTGAGAGCACAAGATGAGGAGTGTGGGATGAGGAGAAATGGCTGGGGTTCATGCCCTATTTATAGGGCGAAATTTGAGATTTTTTGGAATTTTTTCGAATTTTTTATGAATTTTTTAGCCTCCCAACGGTTATTTTCAAATTTGAACGGTCAAATAGCCGTTAGTGCCACGTGTCGCCTTCCCGTTGGACCGCCGCCCGCCCTGTCACGCGCCGCCGGCGCTTTCGGCCTGACGGGCCGCCCGGGCCGTGCCGTGCCGCGGGCCGTGCCGTGCCGGCCTGCTACAGGAGCCGTGCCGTGCCGTGCCGGCCCGCGGGCTCGGCCAGCGGCCCAAGCACGGCACGGCTACACGGGCCGTGCCGGCACGGCCCGTTACTGTAGCAGGCCGTGCCGGGCCGTGCCTGCTACAGGAACGGCCGTGCCGCGGGCCGCCCGTTTGGCCCGGCCCATTTGGCCACCTCTACCCCGCCCCCTGTGCGCGGTGCATGCCGCTAGGCCCACTACAGTACCTGTCTCCACCTACAACAAATCAACTAGATATTTTGAAAACTCTATATTAAGGAAATTTGGTTTATTTTTTTTACCCAAAATGTTTCACCAAGTGTATTCACAATGTTTCACTATGTATAGATCTAATGTTGCAGTAAACTGAAATATTTCATTATAACAAAAAAACCTATATATTTTGGGAACCCCTATTAAGGGAATTCGTTTTATTTTTTATTCCACCGAAAAATGTTTCACCTAGTGTACTTATAATGTTTCACTACGTATGGATCAAATGTTGCTGTGAACTAAAACATTCTTTAGCTATTTGCTGAAACATTATTTTTATATACGGTGAAACAACACCTGATTTAAACAAGCGAAACATTTTCGATCTACTAAGTGAATCAATTCCGATATACTTGGTTGAACATCGTGCAATATTTAAAATAATTTAATAATAAGCTAAAAAAAATTTCGTCGGAATATATCCATGTGTGGTCTTGTTTTAAAGATTTAATTGCAACGAATTTAATGGTACAATCGGATAATGATTTAGATAAGTAATTAAGAGAAAAATCAGTTTAAAATAGTTTTGCACGTAAATTGGGCGCTGACATCAGCGTTCTATTTTTCTCCAAATTGATTGGATGCCCGAGCCGTACAGTCGTCTAATTAATGTGAATAGCCGCTGCTACCCAAGCCTAATTCACCTTATCATTATCATTCCTGGCCCCTCGCCGCACCACCATCGCTGGAAAACGGAAGCCACACACCACCTCTATCTCCACATAGGGGCATCATCTTCCTTCAGCTGACCGACGAGCACGCAGCGGTGTGTCGATGTTGTCGGTGGGGTATACGGAGCTTGTGGTGAGAAGGTAGTGGCTGATGGTGGCAAACCTGACAAGGCGGGCTGCGTATGTACATGTCAGTATGTTGCCGCAACGAAATATTAGTACTAATTAGTAATACTTTCTCCGCCTCAAAATATAAAGGATTTGCGTTCAGATTTATAAGGTATAGGATAGTATGTCACATCACCCAAAATTCCTTCTATTTTAGGAGGAAGGGAGTACCGTTCAACGTGTTTAAGTCCCTATCACATCGGATGTTTGGACACTAATTATAAATATTAAACGTAGACTATTAATAAAACCCATCCATTATCTTAGACTAATTCACGAGACGAATCTATTGAGCCTAATTAATCCATGATTAGCCTATGTGATACTACAGTAAACATTCTCTAATTATGGATTAATTAGGCTTAAAAACTTGTCTCGCAAATTAGCTTTCATTTATGTAATTAGTTTTGTAAGTAGTCTATATTTAATACTCTAAATTAGTGTCTAAATACAGAGACTAAAATTAAGTCGCTGGATCCAAACACCACCTAAGGGCTTGTTTAGTTGGGGAAAATTTTTGGGTTTGGTTGTTAGATCGGATATACGGACACATATTTAAAATATTAAATGTAGCCTAATAACAAAATAAATTATAGATTCCGTCAGGAAACTGCAAAACAATTTATTAAGCCTAATTAATCCGTCATTAGCAAATATTTACTGTAGCACCATATTGTCAAATCATGATACAATTAGGCTTAAAATATCCGTCCCGCAATTTATATGCAATATGTGTAATGATTTTTTCTTTTTGCCTACATTAAATACTCTATGCATGTATCAAACATTCGATGTTATAGCATAGAAATTTTTGTTTTTGGAACCGCCTAAATTCAGTAGGTTTGTGGCACCTTTGGCCGTGATACTGATATCTGAAGGAATTTTTCACCGCAAGAAAATAGAAGGAATTTACTGTTTTATTACTCCCATCGTCACAAAAAAAAACAGAGAGAGAGAAAAGGAAAGAAAAAGAAAAAGTGAAAAACCCACAAGGCCCCATCCGGACCGGGTAGACAAAACGAAAGGACAGCTCAGCAAGTAGCCAATAGCCCAACGAACTCGAAATTTCCGCTCCCTCCCGCTCGTCTCCCCTCCCCTTTCGCCTCTCGCCTCCTCCCGCTCGCTTCTCGCAGTTCGCCCCCAATTCGCCAAGCGCCGCGGCTAGGTCATGCCGCCGCTGATGGGACCCCGCTACGGCGGCGGCGGCGGCGGTGGCGGTGGCGGAGGCGGAGGCGCGGGCCAAAGCGGCGACGGAGGAGGGAGCCGTGGCGGTCGGAGAGGGGGGGGGGGGGGGGAAGCGAAGGCGGTGGCGCGGAGCAAAACCACCGTGAAGCAGGAGGGGTGCGACGCGGCGGTGGCGCGGAGCAAAACCACCGTGAAGCAGGAGGGGTGCGACGCGGCGGTGGCGCGGAGCAAAACCACCGTGAAGCAGGAGGGGTGCGACGCGGCGGTGGCGCGGAGCAAAACCACCGTGAAGCAGGAGGGATGCGACGCGGCGGTGGCGCGGAGCAAAGCCACCGTGAAGCAGGAGGGGTGCGACGCGGCGGTGGTGGATGGAGAAGAGGTGGGGTCGAGGAGGAAATACGCGGGGGAGGTGGAGGAGCGCAAGCCGGTGGTGGGGCTGAAGGTCAAGGCAGAGACAGGGAAGCGGTCCGCTGCGGATGGGGAGAAATCGTTTGCGGCGGCGGCGGCTGTGGTGGGGAGATACGCGGCGGGGCTCAAGAACAAGGCGGTGCCGGGGGATACATCCACGGCCGGGGGAGGAGCCCGAAGCGGCGGCGGATTTGGACGCCGAAGCGGCGATGAGGAGTCGGGGATCGATCTCGAGGCGCGAGGCCATATCAGCGGCGAGGGATCAGCGGCGGGAGCAGATCGCGGGGGCAGAATCAATCGCCCTTTCGCCGGGATGCGTTTCATACTTCACGGATTCCCACACCTTCTAAAAGAACAGGTGAGATAATGTCCCCAGTTCTAGTTGCTCATAATTCACATGTCGGCGTGTGTTCCCCAATTTCATCGAATTGCAGAGTTAGGGTTTAAGGGAAATGCGGAACTGGACATCGAGCTTAATTGATTTTTACTGCCTTAGTTCAGGCCACAACATGCACACAGCACACATCCCGTTCCTTACACTTGTTTTTTAAAGATTAATTATCGGTGCCTAGGCTATCAGGATGAAGTCAAATTATCAGCAGGTTAAGGAATCTACACATGTGACTTTTATGGAATGATGAAATTTAAACTAAATTGAACATATCAGCAATTTTACAGAAGTATTGTGTCTGTCAACCAGATCTTCTCAGGAACTTCTCCTTTTCGTACTGCATTTTCAGCGTGTGCATATTTTGATATTTATGCCATCTCATCTAATGTCAAGGTAAAAAACAAGTTCCATTTTATATACTTTCCGCGAAAAGATTGCGTTCTTTCTACCTGAAAGCAGTGCTCTGAAGATTGAAACATTACGCTCATGATTATCAACAGTAGGGAACATATCACACAATCACTCATTTCCAGTCCATCTTAGTTTTCTGCTACACAGCCCCTTAGTATTTACTCCTTCTAAGCAAGCCATATTCCTAGTATGCACCAAAATTCCAAACTGCTTGTCTATTTGAGAATCTGGTGAGTTTTGTGACTTGTCCTTCCCTTTCTTTGGGCCTGAAGGGTACAAGCTGATAAAGAATTAGAGGATTTATCTCCATATATTTTCCTGATAACGAATTAGAGGAGTAATCTATACTTCACTAATGTATCTAAGGTTCCTTTATCGAATTTTGTTAGTCGAATCGTATCTAATTTTGTTGATTGGCTCTGTAAGATTTATCTGCGTTCAATTTTGAAACCCTGTAAAATTGTGCAGCATGTCATTTTGGTTTCTACCACTAATATGGCTGGCTTGTCAGCATGGGAGTCCATTGATAACAATTTACTTCCTCCAGGTTTTATTAACATTCTGAACTAAATGATGCAGAGCAAAAGGAAAATTGAAGTACTAGGAGGCTTCGTACTGCAATCAATAGACTATGACATCTGCACTCATGTTGCTATGGCGGTAAAAAAATTACTACCGATTTTTATTAGTGTAACACATGTTTCGTTCTTGACATTTAATTCAAATTGCTAGGGAGACTATTCGGAGGGAGCTGTTCTGATATGGAACGGTGAAGGCAAGAAGGTGGTTAACATCCAATGGATTGACGACTGCTATATAAAAGGAATAAAGATCCCAGAAAATGATGCACCTGTAAGTAGCTAGCATCTCTCTCTCTCTCTCTCTCTCTCTCTCAAGAAGGTAGCGAGCACTAATTTTGCATTGCTACATTTAAAGATTTGTCCTAGAATGTATTATCTGCTCATATGCTGAATTTGAATGTCTTGATAGGCAAATAGCTGCATCTGTTGATTGGTTATCTTGTGAAAAAAAAATTTGACATGGAAACACATCTGCTGATTGTTATTTTGGCAATTGATCTTAGTTAATCATTGTGATGGCAAATAATTTACAGGCTATTCAAGCTCTAATCAAGACTCCAGCAACAAGTCAAGGTGCAAGGGACACTATCGTATCAACAAGCAAAAAATTAAGACCATGTTATGGTTACCAAAGAAGATCTGTAAGAAGGAAACTTGAGTATGACAGGGCATTTGAAGAAAAGGCATACCATCTAAACCATAATCTTTTCGTCTGCAAAATGGATGAAACAATGTATACCAGCCTGAGGAACTACTGCAAGTTCAATAAGGACAGGTTAATTCTTCAAACCATAACACCTCAAGTCAAGTCGCCACCGGAACAGATTCCATGGACAAATCCACTAGAACCGAAGGAAGGAGCAAGCACATCAACTGAAGAAGAAGAGAAGAATATGTGTAGACATATTTCTTACACAACGTCAAATGAAGTGAAATGCAAGATCAGGAACGCATATGTACTACTCAAGAATTTTCACTGGGCTGGACTGACATTTGGTGGCCATTTTACATCGGAAAATTTTCTAATGGATACCTGTGGTAACATGAGATTTGGTAATCTGTCAAAGGGAGTGATTAACAAGCTTGAGGATGGTGACATTGAAAAGGATACAGATAGATTTGTGAAGATGACTCGCGAGGAGGTATTTGTTTCGGTCACCACTTTGCCTTTGGACATTATACAGTGGATTGAGCTGATTGATCGTTGTGCCAGAGGTTATGACAGTTTAGCAGAGGACTATATCACTTTGAAGGATGGATATAGATCAGCTGCCCACTTCATGTCTCTCCATAACATGTTTGAGAAAATGGAGACAACAGATAATCCAACGTACGAGAAAATTAAGACCAAACTCAGTAAATACACCAAATGGAAGAAGGGTGTTGAAGCTCCAGATGGAAATACGCATTTGAAGGAAACACTTGATTTCATTGATCCTGCCACAGGAAGGAAAGCTTATTATTCTGATGACATTTGTGGCCTTCTTAAACTTCTCAGAAACATCAGGCAGCACAGTGCAAGAGCAAAAGAGGATGTATTTGTACTTATAGTTGCACAGAATTTTCCAAGACTCATGGGCGATTTCCAGAAGGTGATGTTTAAGCAAGGATATACGCTAAAGTGAGTACTGCTTGTCTTCTAATCTTCATATTCTTTCTTAGTTGCATTATAGTATTATACCATTGGCTGCTTTTGGTGTGTAGTGAATCTGTAGACTCTAGCAAAAATCAGACCTTCGCATGTACGCATTTGTTTGATACATCTGATTTCTTGTGCTAATGTTCAGGTCAATTCACTAAAAGCCACACAGATTCTGGAATCCAAAAGGTTGACCACGAAGACAGCAGACATTTACAAGTGACATTGAAAGAACTCAACTGATCATTTCCCTGACAACACTCTGTTCATATACGCGAATTGAAGCCCTGCACAATTCAGCTTATTCAGGGCAGACACTGAAACACCTTTTTCAGTCACTTAAGGCCAGTCTGTACAGAAGGATCGTGATGGTATTCATGATTCCTTAGGTGGTGTTTGGTTGGAGGGACTAAACTGGGGCTAAACTTTAGTACCTCTCACAAAAACATAAATCCCTATGAGAAGGACTTATGTTTTTTTTAGAGAGGGGCTAATAGCCCCTCTCTCCCGAACACCCCCTTACTATGACCAAACTCTCTACTCATTTGTCTGTGAATTTGTGCGCATGTGCCACAGCCATTCTTACCAGTTCAACTTTATTGTTGTTCTCTTATGTACAAGTATATTGAAAGTGGAGCTTATCACAACCTGGAAGCCTTTTGCATGTTCATGAACCGATTTTGCATGTGCTACTTCTAATATACCAGACGCGCTAGCCTTTTGTGTGTTGGCCTTTTTTTTATATCACAATCCGGAAGAGGCTTAAGGTCTTTCTTTAAACATCAATGCAATCTGTAATACTCAGAAGCTGCTAACCATGTTGATTGCTGCTTGTGAATGATTCCAGGGATTCAGATGTTGGGTGGTGTTTTGGTGTGGATATGAGTGTTTTTTTACTATAGCAATATTGAGTCTGTTGTGTACTGTAAACAAGTATATATACCCAGTAGACTTTGCTTTTTGTGTGTGTACATCTGTTGAAGTTTAATAGAAGCTGGGGGACATCTATAAAAAGAAAAGGTGAAATCTACTGTCCAGCCATATGTTAACTTTGTGCAATCATTTTTTTTGGGGGCAATATCTGGTGTGTAGTGGCCGAAATATCATCATGTAAGACTTTAATTTGCATGAAACTATTGATCTGATCATATTCCACAATGTAATGCAAGAGAAGCAAACTACTTCATAAAATTTTCGGAAATATGTTTTCAAAAGGTATATCAATAAAATTAATACATAAAAAAGTATAAAAAAATAAAAATAAAATTTCTGCAAGCAGCTGCTACATCCAGAAGGCTACAGGAGAAAACGATGGGACATGTTGCTTGGGCAGTGGGAACGCGCCGGCGGCGCGGCGAACCCTCGCCTGCAGCTCTCCCCGGCGATTGTACTTGAGCCCGAACACCGTGACATGGACCTCCACGCCGCCGCCGCCGCCACCTCCTTCCGACGACGACGACGATGTCGGCGGCGTCTCACAGGTCTCCACGGCGCAGAACATGCCGTCGCCCATGTAGGTGAGCGTGGCGCGTTGGCGCCGGTTCTTGCTTCTCGACGACGACACGCTGTCGTAGTCGAGCGTCTCTCTGTACTCCGGGGGCCGCGCGCCGCCGCGGGACGCGACCTGGCAGGCGCAGACGCGGCCGTGGACCTCCCTGTGGAGCCCGACCCAGGCGTCCAGCTCGCCGTCGAAGTAGCCCTGCCCACGGAACGGCAAGACCCAGTCCCCGTGGCGCCGCCACTTGCGCCGCTCGGTGTCGAACGAGTATGTGCCGCCGCCGCCGCCGCCGGTGGTGGACACGAAGATGGTGCGGCCGTCGGGGTGCACCGCGTAGGCGGTGACGGCCTCCTCCTCGGCGAACGGCGGCGGCGTATCGGCCACGTTCTTCCAGGACCAGTAGTAGTGGCGCCCCGGCGAGGAGGAGGAGGAGAACAGCAACGACGACGGCGATGCGCAAGGGTCGCGCGCCCACGACAGCGCCTCGAACGACGCCGGCATGCGCTCGCCGAGCGACGTCAGCGCGTAAAGCGCCTCGCCGCCGCCGTGGCCACCGTCCTCGACGACGACGGCCAGGCCGGCGCCGGAGGAGGAGAGACGGCCCGGGAGGGGTGACGCGAACGTCAGCGCGGCCGCCTCCGTATCGTACACGGCCGTCGGGCCGCCACCCTGGCCGTCGACCGCGACGATGTTCTTCCCGGCCATGGCGAGGAAGTGCATTTGGCCACCACCGGCCGCTGGCGCCGCCGCGAACCGAGTCGCCGGCCGGTCGACGTCGGGCGCGTGGATAATGCCCGCGTCGTCGTCGACGTCGAGCTTGTGGATGGTGTAAGTAGTAGTAGCCTCGTCGCCGTCGTCGAGCACCAGGTAGAGGTGCTTCATCTTCGTCTGCGCCGGCCGCCGCCGCGCCGTCTTGCTGGCGCGGCCATCGGCCTCGCCGCCGTCGTTCCTCCGCCGCCGTGACATCCCGGGTGATCGATCCATCCACTGTTTGAGTTCGATCACGTGCACGTAAATAGTCAGGGCAAGACTGCTGCTCCGACTCGGAAACGGTACAAAAATCCTCTTCATTTTAAGGGAGAAGGAATTAAAAAAACTCTGAATTAAAATTTGATGGGTATAAAACTCTCTCCTTTCTAAGGGAAAAAGATTTTTTTTAAAAAAAACTCGGTGTTAAAGGCCTGGTTTAGTTCCCAAAACTTTTTTTTACTAAAAATATCACATTGAATTTTTGGACATATGGATGAAGCATTAAATATAGATTAAAAAACTAATTACACAGTTAGAGGAAATCGCGAGACGAATCATTTGAGCCTAATTAGTCTATGATTAGTTATAAATGCTACAGTAACCCGCATGTGCTAATGACAAATTAGTTAGGCTCAAAAGATTCGTCTCGCGATTTTCTAGCGAGTTATGAAATTAGTTTTTTCATTCGTGTCAAAAACTCTTTCCGACATATAGTGTAACACCCAAAAATTTTCTTTTTTAATCAGGCCAAAATTTGAAAAACTGTGAAAAATAAAAGAAGAACAAAATGCACCAGCCGGGAATCGAAACCGGGTCCGTACCGTGGCAGGGTACTATTCTACCACTAGACCACTGGTGCCTCGTTGTCAAGTAATTTACAAAGCTCTTAAGTCACTAATTACCAGTAATATAATCGTCACAACCACGAGATTAGATATAGTTGATGACTACTAGATGTCAGATATGGGAATCGTATCAGAGTGAGAAGCACATGGCAAATAGGCAATCGTATCGTATCATACACGTTCGTGTAATGCAACTAGAAAACGAAGCCCAGCAAGGACTCCACTCTGCAAGTCCAACTAAAATCAAATTATTATTGTGGCCCAGCCACTAAAAACAAATTTAATGACTACGAAATTCCGCTAATCAAATTGTTTGATCGAGCTACACGCTTCAGTCACTGTAGAGTACACATTCTGTATGCTGTACTAGTTCAGTAGTACGTACTCACAGAGAAAAGAAAACATTTCGGAAATTTGTATATATTTCAGACTAATAGAATGCGCACGTTTTCTGAACTTTTAAATAACGTAGTTTTCCAAAAAAAAAACTATATATATATATATATATAGCAAACTATCTCATATTCATTTTTATAACTTTATGGTATTTAAATTGTTCATCTATATGCTCGAATAATTATTACAAATCATCTCACTATTCAACCATTCCGGTGAAAAAGCTAGTACTACTATGCATTATTTCATTGCATCTATATGTGCTCTTCTATTTACATTTCATGACAAGTCATATACTACTACAAAGCATTTCATCTTCCCAATTCTGCATGAACAAAATACCATGCAATTAATTAATAACTAATCACCCAAATTAACACTTGACACCAACCAACCCAACCAATCTAGCATCATCACCATCATCATCTTTGCAATTCAATTTGCAAAGAAGAAAAATGAAGTTAATGTGGTGAAGGCAATGGCGTGAGAATGGCGAGGCTGACGCAGAGGAAGACGAAGTAGATGACGAGGAGGCCCACCCCGAGCACCGCGTCCAGCCTCATCCCCCTCGCCGGCAGCACCGCCACCGCCCACACCAGCGCCGCCGCCAGGAACCCCACCGCCACGTACACCGCCGCCCCGCCCTCCACCGCGTACGCCTCCGGGTGCCGCGCCCCGGCCGCCACCGTCAGCGACAGCCCCAGCCCCACCACCGTGTTGAACGCCGGCGCCGCGTAGCACCCCGCCACCGCCGTCTGCGCCCCGGCGCCGCCGTCGCCGCGCCGCGTCGCCAGCGCCACGTCCGCCACCAGGTCGCCCAGCGAGTTCCCCCACGCCAGCACCGTCGCGCCCAGCACGCCGGCCTCCACGCCGGCCGCCACGCCGATGGAGACCAGCAGCGCGACGAGCTCCCGCGCGAGCACGTACGACCAGAGCACCGACATCAGGAACCCGCCGGCGAGCCACGGGAGGCGGGCCGAGCGGCTCTTGGGCGGGGACGCGGCGTCCGTGGTGGCCGCCGCGGCGGCGGCGAGGAGGGCGCCCGCGAGCGTGGCGGCGAGGAGGGTGGTCGCTGTGGTGGTGGGCGCGGTGGTGGCGGCGAGGAGGAGCGGGGAGAGGAGCGCGGTGGCCACCGCGGTGGGCTTCGACCACCGGTGCGCCGCGATGTCCGGGATGGTGAGGCGTCGCGGGAGGTAGAGCGGCGAGTGGAGGAGGTCGACGAGGCGGCGCGCGAACGTTCTCGGCGCGGAGGTGGGCTTGGAGGAGGAGGAGACGGGGAGTGGAGGCGGTGACGCGTCGTCGTCGTCGACGACGAGGAGCGGCGCGGCGAGGTCGGAGGTGGGCTGCTTGGTGTCGTCCACTTCGAGTTCGTCGGAGGCGTTGGCGCAGCAGTGCGAGGTCCAGACGAGGAGGACGTAGCCGGCGTAGAGGGAGAGGAACGACGCGGCGGACCAGACGGTGACGGCGCCGGTGAGCAGCACGGCGAGGAGGTAGCAGAGCGCCACGAGGAGGAAGCACACGTCGCGCACGAACCCGCGCCGCTCGATGATCACCGGCTCGCCACCACCGCGACGCCCGGCGACGATAGCGACCACGCCGGCGACGACGGTGGACACGAACAGCGCGCCACCGAGCACGCCGCTGAGGCCAACATCCCCGGCATCCTCCCCTCCGCCGCCGCCGCCGTCGCCGCCGCGTGCCCCCGCGGCGAACGCCACGACGCTAGAGAGCACGTCGGGCGCGCCGTTCCCGAGCGACAGCAGCGTGACGCCGGCGATCGCCGGCGGCAGGCGGAGCACGGCGGAGAGCCCCTCCAGCGAGGCGCAGAAGTAGGCCGACGCCGTGTCGCCGAGGAGGTAGAAGAGCACGAGCAGCCACAGCGCGAGCGCCGCGTAGCCCAGCCATGGCGCCCGCCCGAACCCGCAGTACAGCAGCCGGAGGTAGTCCACGTACCCCACCGGCGCGCACGGCGCGTGCGCCCGCAGATACCGGCACCTCGCGCCATCGCCGTCGAGCGCCTGCAGCTCCCTGCACCCACCGGACGAGGAATCCGGCGACGACGAGCTCGCCGCCGCGACGCCACTGAAGAAGATGTCAGCCTCATTCCGCGTGGCGACGAACACGGACAAGAAGAAGACGACGACGACGACGGCGAGAGCCAAGAACGCGGCGGCGGCGGCATTGCGCGTTCTTCGCCGGTGCAGCGTTCGCAAGAAGGCCGCCATGGGAGATGACAGAGAGGAGGTTGGAGCTTAGTGATGATTGGGAGAGAGTAGTGAAGCTACGACGATTTTGATGGCATAGATGGCCGCAATCGAAATGGGAAGAGAAAGCTGGGAACTTGTAGTTGTCTTGTACTTTCTTCGTTTCAGGTTATAAGATGTTTTGGCTTTGATCAAAGTCAAGCTGCTTTAAGTTTGACTTAGTTTATAGACAAATATAGTAATATTTACATTATCAAATTAGTTTTTTTATTAAATTAATAATTAAATATATTTTTATAATAAAATTAGCTTGGATTGAAAATATTACTATTTTTTTCTATAGACTTGATTAAACTTGAAGCAGTTTGACTTTGACCAAAGTCAGAACATCTTATAATCTGAAACGGAGGAAGTAGTTTTCTTTGTTTTTCTTGTTTTATTTTGGTACTGGAAATGCAGTGTTCTTGGTTGGTCTAGAGAGAAAGATGGAAGTTTTGGTCTTTGATTTTTGCTCTGTGTTTTGAGCTTTGTTTCAGAGTTAGTGTGGAAATTGACAGGAAAATGTGGAGTCATTAGGACAAGTGGCAGCTCATTAGGCCACTGAGCCTCAAGGGATGCTGAATCATCAATCACATGACCTTGATACTGACTGACTCAAAACTCTTCTTCTGAATTCCTCTCATCTTCCTTTTTTATGTTCTCTTTGGACTAAATTATCACTTTGTGGTGGTCGTTTGCATTTGTGTCAACTTATATGCCATATTATATTGTGTTGATTCAGTACCATTTGGGATTTGATAATTCATTGTGGTGTTAACTTATCTGGTAAGCAAAAGTAACATTGTTGGATTAGTATTTAAAGGTTTGGAAGAGAGATGCTGCAGCTGCTACTCCTGTTTCTCTGATTCCATCATGCATACTACTTTCTGATGCAGCTCACTAATCTGAAGATACAATAATTGGTACTCCCTCCGTTTCGAAATGTTTGACACCGTTGACTTTTTAGCACATGTTTGACCGTTCGTCTTATTCAAAAACTTTTATGAGATATGTAAAATTATATGCCTACATAAAATATATTTAACAATGAATCAAATGATAGGAAAAGAATTAATAATTACTTAAATTTTTTGAATAAGACAAACGGTCAAACATGTGATAAAAAGTCAATGGTGTCAAACATTTCGAAACGGAGGGAGTATGTCTAATAAATCAATTTCTTTGGCTATAGGAATTCAGCAGGTGAGTTAGATTGGAATATCAGCTGAAATATTTTTTGGCCAGACAGAGAGGAAAACCTCTCCCCTTTCTATCCCCTATAATAGGTGGTATGGAATCAATTTATTTGGCTATGGGAATTCAGCAGGTGAGGTGAGTGAGATTGGAATATCAGCTGAATTATTTTTTTCAGACAGAGTGGAAAACCTATCCCATTTCTATTATTACCAGAGATGTATGACAGTAACAAGAAAACAAATCAGCTGAAACTAATGTTCATCATGTTTCTACATATGCTGATATATTCTTCAGAGCTGACACTCTAGCTAGCAGATAATGAAAATTCACAACTTGTTACTGTTTACTTACCGGCACAACATTCTCCATCCAATTATTGGATCAGGTAAGACGGCAGTATAACCGTACTCGAACTGCAATTTTATCTCATCAACTCTTTCCTGACCATATATCCTCTCTGCTAGACGATGAACAAATTGTCAAATTGCCTGACCAATGCATGGACGACACGCCATTCCATGAACAAGAGCATCCAGGAGATGCTACTGTCAGATTGGCACCACACGGATGAACAACTATTAGCCTCAACATCCATCCATCTAATCGAGGTCTCAACATCAGGAGATGCTACTGTTAGATTGGAACCACGCAGTAAGTAATTCAGATAAGCTATCACAGGTGACTATATATCTTCTCCTGATCCATGAGTTACAGTAGGATCATCAACACCTTGTCTCTTCTCTTCTCCAGTCAAGTTCTTCTGGAAGATCAAGATGATCATCTCAAGAAGGAACCACCATTTGCAACTTAAGTTTCTGATTTATTAACAGGAGTGAGAATTCTAGTGAGCCAGTGCCTGTCTGTCAGAAATGATGAACACAATGCATGGTGGGTAGTAGTATAAGTGGATTTGTGATCACTAGACTGACTTTTTTGTAGGAGTAAAATGCACCAGCGGTCCTTAAATTTGTCAGGAGATTTCACTTAGGTCCACGAACTTACGAAGCGCACATTAAGGTCCCTAAACTTGGTTTATTGTATTATCTCAATCCAAAGCCGCGTTTGACCATGGTCTTGCCTACATGGCATGCCACGTGGACGATGACATAGATTTTTTAAATTATTTTTTCTCTCTTCTTTCTTCTTTTTTTTCTCTTTCTTCCTTGTCCGAAAAGCATGAAAATGCCTCATACACGTCATCGTCTTTTCATAAAAGAGAAAAGAGAAGGAAGAAGGGAGAAAAAATAAAAAAAAATCTATTTCATCGTCCACGTGGTATGCCACGTAGGCAAGATCACGGTCAAACACGGCTTTGGACCGGGATGATAGAATAAACCAAGTTTAGGGATCTCGATATGCGCTTTGCAAGTTCGTGAACCTAAGTGAAACCTGCTGACAAGTTTAAGGACCGCTGGTGCATTTTACTCTTTTTGTAGCCTGGTACCCTGATCTAGGACTATTCATTGAATCCCAGCTTGGAATTGTCCTAACAAGCTGGGGACCTCTTTTGTACAGTTGATTGATCTCACATGATCTTGTCTTCTACTCTGAATTTTCTGAAATTCCCTAACTCCTTGAATGAGATTTTTTTTTCTGAAATTCTTGAGACATTCCTACTAATTTTCCGCGTGCCGGAAAAGCCTTTATGCCTTATATTACCATCATATAACTGATTGATACTTGTGAAACTTATTGTCCTTCCCCCTTGTTAACTGTGCTCCATTATGCAAGGAGCTTTATCCAGCAAGGACAATCATCCAAGGAACAATATCTTCAGAGGGGGTGACCAGCGTGTGAACAAATCAGCAGCCTGTACTGGTATTGGACCAGTATTAAAAAATTATGCAGAATTTGATCCACCCCAAGATGCAAACAGATTCTCCACGTTTGCTTTGCTTGTCTGGTTGCTTGATCTGCAAACACTTGACTCATGGGATGTGTACATCATCTCTTAACTGAATAATGCTACCCAAGCACAGAGTCCCAGATGGTTTTGGTTTTCTTGTACAAATCGTTGTGCCCTTCTGTTTGAGCTTCAGTTCAGAACTGACAAGAAGATTAACTGAAGAAAAAGGGATTAGCAATATGGTTTCCTCCCTATCACCAAAAAAAAAAACATGCCTAAATTACTAAGTTTTGCTAGGTAGGCTGAAGAGATAAGACTCATGAAGAACTATGCTGAAAAAGAAGTACAACTTTAAAACTTGGAAAGTGAAGAAGTACCTTTGCAAACTGCAACTAAAACAAACATGAAGCTTGAAGAACTAATTTGAGGGCAAATATTGTCAATTTCGAATTATTGTTTAAAACAAACAGAAATGGAATTGCAACTAAAAGTAACATCAAGTCTGAAGAACTTTTTTCAGGACAATAATGGTCAATTTCAAATTCTTCTTTAAAACAAAAAGAAAGACTGCTCTCCCTGAAAGGAATTGCAGCTAAAAGAAATATCAAATCTGAAGAACTAATTTCAAAACAAACATTCTCAATTCAAAATTCTTCGTTAAAAAGAAAATAAAAAGGCTGCTGTCCCTGGAAGTCCAATGCCCAACAGAACAGGCCCAATTCTGATTTTGGTATTACCCAAATCCAAGCCACATGGACATAGACAAACACCTTACACAGATGCTTATTACTAATACTACATGATAATAAAATCAGCACTAACATATTTTTTTTCTCCCTAAGAACTCCAAATGAAGTATTGCCAATTCAAAATTGTTTCTTTTTTTAAAAAAAACAAATAGGCTGAAATTCCTGAAAAGCATATAGGCGGCCCAATTGGCCCAACTATGATGAACTTTTGGTATTACCCAAGATCCAATACACCAGGTGTAGCAAAAAAAAAAAAAAATCTGCCATGAAGGAAGCAAACAGGGGCGGATCCAGGAAAAAAAAAATTGGGGGGGGGCTCAATTACACAGTTTCTTCAATATCCAGCTATTTAGGGACCTTTAGTTTATCATTTATGGTGAAAAAATCGAAGGGGTGCTCCGGGGTATCCATGAGTCCCCCCTACATTCACGTTGGATCCGCCCCTGGAAGCAAAGAAGCATATGTCCTTGCCCCAAGGAAGGAGGTCACCCATGGCGTCAAGCTCACTCCATCTCCATCCATGGCTACCTTAATTAGCTTAGCTAACCTAACCCAGGTTGCATTGCATATGCTCCTGCCATCTCCATCAACCAATCCAAGCTATCTATCTAATTCCATTCTCACAACACATTTGCATGCATCTATATAAAGTGTAATATAATGTTTATTACAACACGTCGCTGTCACAAAAGCAAGCTTAGTTGACGTGTACACATCGAACTCCGGCGAGCGGCGGCGGCGGCGATGGAGCAGCGGCGAGTGTACGAGGAGGTGGAGCCGGAGGTGGAGTGGAGACAGGCCGGCGAGGAGCAGGACGTGGTGGAGATCGCCCTCCCGGGGTTCAGGAAGGAGCAGGTGAGGGTGCAGGTGGACAACCACGGCATGCTCCGCGCCACCGGCGAGCGGCCGCCGGCGGCGAGGGGGGGGAGGTGGGTGCGCTTCAAGAAGGACCTCCGCCTCCCCGACAACTGCGACGCCGACGCCGTCCGCGCCAGGTTCGACGACCACAAGCTCATCATCACGCTCCCCCTCGTCGCCGCCGCCGTCGACGTCGACGAGTCCTCGGCGACGTCGCCGGAGTTCAAGACGCCGCCGGCTCTGTCGCCGGTGCCGCCGCCGCCGCCGCCTCCTCGTACTCGTACGCGCGTTGAGCCGCCGCACCGTCCACCTCCGGTGAAACCCCAGCCGCCACCGTCATTGCCACCACCACCTCCTCCTCCGCCGCCACCGCCGCCGCCACGTCCACCGTCGGTGAAGCCCCCCGTTGTGCAGCCGAAGCCACAGCCGCCACCATCATTGCAACCACCATCTCCGCCGCCGCCGCCGCCGACACGTCCACCGTCGGTGAAGCCCCCCGTTGTGCAGCCGAAGCCACAGCCGCCACCAACATTGCCACCACCATCTCCGCCGCCGCCGCCGCCTACAGTACCACCACGAACTCCGGGGGACACCCCTGCCGTTGTCGAGCCAAAGCCGCAGCCACCACCACCACCACCACGAGCTCCGGTGAAGATGCCACGTGTTCTCGAGCCAAAGCCCTCGCCGCCGCCGCCATCGCCGCTGCCACCGCCGCCAGAGGATTATTGGTCTCCAACGGCAGTGACTCCTCCGGAACCAACAAAGCCAAAGCCACCGCCGCCATCGCCGCCGCCGCCGCCGCAGCAACCGTCACAGCGGTATTGGACCCCGCCTCCGGCTATCACCCCTGAACCAGCAAAGCCCGCCGCCGGCAAGCCGACATCCTCGTCGCCGCCGAGCACAAAAGACTCGCCACGGCCGCCGCTTCCTGCGCCAAGTCCAGCAGCAAACGGCGGCGATCCAAGGCTACCGGCGACTACGCCGCTTTCGAAGCAGAAGAGGAAAGAGGAGAAGAGAGAGAAGGAGGCGCAAGAAATGGGTCGAGCTGGAGCGGCAGCAGCGGAGGAGGAGCGGCCGCCGGCGACGGCGACGGCGAGCGGAGGTGGGAGGAGGGAGGCGGAGGAGAGGAGGCTGATGGTGAACATGGCGGCGGCGGCGGCGGTGCTCGTCGGGATCATCGTATCCGTGTGGCGCACCTTGAGCTCTTGACTCTTGTGTCTCTGACCAAACAGATGCCAAATGTGAATGATATGTAATTAAGCTAATGTGATTACATGTAAATTAACACCTGCAAATGTGTATACTGAAACACCACATTAATAACCAAAATGTACTACTAATTGCAAGTATACTTTTGTTACATTTTCAATCCATTTCATTTCCTAATGAACATGAAGAGTTTGCTATTGTTGAATATGCCTACAGAAGTAAGCCAATTTGTGTTCAAATCCCAACATGGAAGTCTTTCAAGTGATTGGATTTATATATCATCATGAACAGCACATAAGCACGAGTAAAAGAATGCAAAGTGATAACACAGCAAGAAATCATCAGAAAACTATCAACTCGGGTGAAAACCAGACAAAAGCCTTGGGTACTTGGCAGAACATAACATCAACTCTCCTTGAAAATTTTGTAATTTGATCCGCAACAACTCAGATGTAGATGAAACACTGCTGATTTCCACTCAGTTTACAATACAAATACACCGACAGACTGCCTCAAAAACCACCAAATTCATTCAAAGTAAAATGGGTATGAGTGATCTTGGCCCCAAGAGACTGACTAAACCTAACCACAGACAGTGGATCCACTGGACCCAGATTATTCAAAAACAAGATGGCTATGATGGCATTCCTCCTCAAAATCGAAGGGAACTTGCTGCAAAGGCGATCCTCACTTCGCGCTAGCGAGCTGGGTGCGGATGAGCTTGGCGGCCAAAACCATGTTGGTGAGGGCAGGCTTCACCTCGGTGTACTTGCGGGTCTTGAGACCGCAGTCAGGGTTCACCCAGAGAATGTTAGTGTCGAGCACCGCAAGCATCTTGTTGATGCGGTCCGCAATCTCCTCCGTGGACGGGATCCTGGGGGAGTGGATGTCGTAGACACCAGGACCAATGCCAGCACCATACTTCACACCCTCGCGGAAGACAGAGAGCAGCTTCTCGTCGGACCGGGAGTTCTCGATGGTGATCACATCGGCGTCCATGTTTATGATGGAGTGGATGATGTCGTTGAAGTTAGAGTAGCACATGTGGGTGTGAATCTGTCGAGAGAAAGTTGTTCAGTTTAAGTTACAGAAGATTGGTGATGATATTGAAAGCCTACAGTGACAGTCTGATGGAAGAAAGATTACCTGGGTGGTGTCCTGAACACCGCAGTTTGTGATTCTGAAGGAGTGAACAGCCCAGTCCAAGTAGAAAGCATGCTCCGCCTTGCGGAGGGGCAGACCTTCTCTCAAAGCAGCCTCATCGATTTGGATGACCTGTAAAGGACAATTAAAAAGACGTAAGCAAGATGATCATGTTTTGCGTATTCACTTGAGAACAAAATTATAGAACAGGTCCAACCTGTATACCACCAGCCTCAAGGTCCTCGACCTCCTTCTTGATGGCAAGAGCAATCTGGTAGCATGTCTCAAACCTGAGCAAGTGTGAAAATGTCAGCCTCAACAGAAAGCTCAATCGCAACCTGAATAATTAGCATTGCATCATCAACAACAGGCACGGACCTCGGCTGGTCATTCCTGACAAAAGACCAGTTAAGGATTGTGACGGGACCAGTCAACATTCCCTTCATGGGGCGAGAGGTCATGCTCTGCGCCATCTTGGACCAGAACACAGTCATGGCGTTGGGGCGGCTCACATCACCATAGATAATTGGTGGCTTGACACACCGGGATCCATAGGATTGCACCCATCCATTGGCAGTAAATGCAAAACCAGAAAGCTGCTCACCAAAGTACTCAACCATATCGTTTCTCTGTAAAATACATGCCAGTTAGCTTACTTCAATGCAGAACAAACCAAACTTTGTTAATGAGTCAATAAATCTAATAATATTGTTTTCTCAAACAGCCAAGTGTAAAGTCTAGTAATAAACACTAAACACAAGTAGTACACGAGGATACTGACCTCAGGCTCGCCGTGAACAAGCACATCAATGTCAAGCTCTTCCTGGATCTTAACAACCTTGCTGATTTCCTCCTTGATGGCACTGACGTACTCATCCTCAGAGATCCTGTAGCAGGAATTGTAATTAGCAATATAGACAAAAAAAAGGGGGAAAACGGTGAAGCGTTGATGTGGACTGTTACGCACTTTTTAGCCTTGTACTCACGGCGGACTCTCCTGAGCTCCACAGTCTGTGGGAATGAACCAATTGTGGTTGTAGGAAGGACTGGAAGGTTGAGCTTCTTCTGCTGTGCGTCCAACCTAGCGCTAACATTGGTAGCACGGCGGTGGTCAGACCCCCTCAGAGCAGCAGCCTGCACAAGCAATATAACATGATATTAAGAAAAACAGGCCAAGTTATGTTGAATAGAATCAAGCATGCAGCCTAAAAACAGAAGGTACTTACAGCCTTTTGGACTTCCTCGTTTGTCACACGAGGTGATGACCTCCTGGAGGCCTGAGCAGCAGTGTTTGCTGCAAAGTAAGCCTGTACAATATTGTTCACAAATGTATAAATGAGCAGAAGTTTCTTCAAATGCTATTGAGTAATGAGTACTATGCTCAGGCTCTAATTAAGAGGTGAGAATAGATAAAGGGCAAAAAAGAGTACCATACCTCATCCTTCTGTCCAGCCAATGCCTTAGCAAGGGCATTCACCTCAACCACTTTTTGGGCAGCAAAAGCAAGCCATGACTTAATCTCGCTATCGAGCTTGGTCTCATTTACAAGATCCACAGCGGTGTGCATGAGTGAGCAGGAAGTCGAGACCACAAGCTTGTCTACAGAAATGAAAGGTATTGTTGGATGAGCAGAAATTGAGGATATTATTGGATACTGCAAATTGTGCCCATTAAAATATAACATATATAATAACTTCATGCTTAATTGCTTACCCTTTCCAACAATAGCCTCAAGAGACTCGAGGGTGGTGAGAGATGCGGCGAGATCATCAGCCCAGATGTTGCGTCCATCCACAACACCAGCAAAGAGGTACTTGCCAGAGGGGAAACCAGCACTCTTGACAAGGTCAAGAGTCTTGGAACCACGGATAAGGTCAAAACCATAAGCAGTCACGCTGTTCAGGGATGTGAGGGTCCTGCAGTGAAAAGGCAGTATTCAGTGTTCTGCCACTATAAAAAGAAGAATGATAAAGGAAAGGCAGGTTCGATAATGATACGATAGTAGAGGAAATAAACATACTTGTATGATTCAGCAGGAATGTCAGCGAAGTATGTCTCAATAAGCACATTCAATCCAGAAAGTGCCGACTCGAGTTCTGTGTACGCTGCAGAGAATGCAGCCAATTGGTGAGAGTCAAGGTCAAGAACAAGTGTGGGCTCATCAAACTGAATCCATGTAGCACCAGCTGCCTTCAACTCAGCAATAACCTCCCTACAAATCATCATGCATCAAATTATGAACTGAAGATTTAGCGCTAGCAGTAGTTATAGACTTGTTTGTACACTTACTTGTAGACAGGAAGGATGCTGCTGAGAAGGGAAAGAAGAGCGAACGACTTCTCTACACCCTTGGCAGGCTTGGAGAGCAACAAGTATGAAACTGGTCCAACAAGTACTGGCACGGTGTCAACGCCGAGCTGCATGAAGAACAATTACATAGGAGACATTAAGGCAACCAGATTACATCTTAATAAATAGGGCACTGTGATTTTCATTTCAGGACTACAACAAAATTCAGAATTTGATGCTTGAAACAGCAGTGCCACTATTCACAAACTGGAACAAGATAACATATTTAATCAAAGAACTTTTCAGGTAAATTCACCAATCACCAATAAAGAATATGTGAAATTAGAAAAAAAAAATATTGCCACAGATCAACATGGGCAGCTTTTTGAAAAAAGATGAAAACAACATATAGTGCAAAAAAATTATTTCATAACCTTTAAAGTGAACTCTAGTCATAGTCAATCTGAAAGTGCTACATTCAAAATTCTAAGCAAGGGGCCAAAATTTGTTTGGCCGTATTAATACAGCACTAAAGAAACGAACTGACTTGGTGGGCTTGTCATTTACAGGCCATTAATCTGTGGAAGTGACAATCTTCCAAAACATAATTTACAAGCCAGCACTTAATCTACATCAGATTCTTTTCTAAACAAAATTATTATATAAATGCACAACTAAGAAACAATTGATCACTACTAAAACTTGATGTTTGAATTAGCATCATAACAAAAGGCAACAAAATAAACTAATAAATAACTTTATGAACTAGGATATTGATGACATTAAGCAATGTGCTAGCGACATCTAGTCAGGCAGAGAAAAAAAATCATTAAGCAGACAGAGATGTAAAGATATAATTCTATTATCTTACCGCCTTGGCCTCCTTGTATTCATTCACAGCCTTGTGGGAAGAGTAGGAGAACTTGGTGTTGGGACCAAGTTCAGGGACGATAAAGTGGCTGTAAAGGTAAACAGCACCAGTTAGCTAAAATGTTGAATATAAAAATTAAATAAAATGTTTACTGTCAGACATCTTAAATGGAAGCAAAGTACTTACTAGTTGGTGTCAAACCACTTGGTCATCTCCATAGCAGGGACAGTGGCATTTCCCCTAGCCATCGAGAAGTAGGTGCTGAACCCAATCTCTCCACCGGTCCATGAGTAGCGCTCTGGGACAGCACCAAGCATGGCGGTCGTGTCAAGAACCTGATCATAGTACGAGAAGGTGTTGCTGGGGATATACTTGATCCCAGCGTCAGCCATTTGCTTCCAGATGCTGGCCCTGAGGTCGGTCGCAACCTTCTCCAAATCCTCAGCGCTGCTCTTCCCATCCCAGAAAGACTCCAGGGCAAACTTGAGCTCCCTCTTGGGGCCCATGCGGGGGTATCCAACAATGTGAGACGCCATCTTTCTATAGAAACAATTGTACTACGATCAGTTTGATTCATCGAAATGTCATGTGAATACATACGAAAATTATGATTTAGCTAACAAGATTACACATATCCATATGCTAACCACACGATGAAGAACGCCTTGTTAGATTAAAAAGCATGCCACTAACGGATACTAACGTCACATTTGGAACGGTGATCCGAATAAAGGTATATGCCATCCAACTATTAAAGCATACTTTTGTGTTTTCTGTTCTACTAATCTTCCTGATTCCTATACATGGGGCTATATCACCAGATCCAGTGGTGCTAAAAGAATAGACTAAACTGATACTAGTATATGGGTTAGGTACACCACCAACCAGCACTAG